AAACTATAGGAACCGTTAGTGTAACTTACCTTTTTTTTTTTTTTTTTTCCGTTGGGAGAGGGTAAGTGTGCAGGGGTGGAGCTCTGTGTAGACGGGGGTGGCCATGGCCCCTCCTGCTTCGTGCAGAATCTTTTCTTATGTGTACACTTGGTCTCGTTTAACAATATCATTTTTTTAGTTTAAAAGTTAAAAAATTAATAAAAAAGTCAATAATTTATACTAAAAAATTAAAAATTTTGTTTTTTCTCTACCTTTTGCATATTTTTTCGTAAAAAATTAAATAGTCATTCTAAATACTAATTTTTTTTACATCATATTTTAGCCAAAAAATAAAAAATTATTAAAAAACTGTTCCCAAACGAGGCAATAGCAGCTACTCTTTTTATGTAGTCCTCCCCCCCTCCCTAATCTTATTTTATTTTTTACCATTATCTCTTTAATATTATGGAAGAGTGCGTTTTATGACACATTTATAGATAAAATTACATGTTATAAATAATATTGATTGTGCATAACATGTATTATGTTCTAAAATAAATTTTAAGAAAATAGTTATATATATCATTTTTAATTTTACTATTTTATATCATTAGGTACATGACACTATATTATTTATTTTATTATTTCTTTAATGAATTTTTTAAACTAAAAACCTAATCATGAATACTCATACATGAGGTGACACAAAATAGTGACAATAAATAAATAATATCTAACATTTCATGATTTTTAATCATAATATTCATTTTATAAAAGAATATGGAAGGGCTTCTTTTATAAAATATTAGTAATATCATAAGTAGGAATAAATATTCAGTGTAATTGTGATGCTATTTATATAATTGAGAAAATTGTAATGTAGTGTATATTTTCAACAAAAATTTAAAATCAATAATAAACTTTACCAACTTTAATAATTGAGGTTATAAATTTTTTTATGAATTTATAAATATTTTGTAAATGCACCATTGATTTGTAATTTTTCATATATAATTCGGTTACTAAAAAACATAAATGAAATTAGATGGACAATTATTATCTTTCACTTTATGTAGGCCCCGCTCGCACAAGAAGTCTCATTGGACTGTTTACCCGATACTTAACCAAGTTCTACTAGGAATTTATCCACTTCTAAAGAATGAAAAATCCAGTTGGTAACAACATAAAAATCTATTACCTTTAAACTTGGCCCAACCTATTTAGGCACCGCTTGGAAAGTAAGATTTGAGGTTTTTTTTGGCTGTTTTAGTCATAAAAGATAAAATAGGCTATTTTAACATAACAAATAAAATATCACATCTAACCCATAATCATTACACTCTTCTCTCACAAAAAAATTCAAAAAAATCAAAAAACTAAAAAACCCTTCCCAAACCAAACTTTTTAACCCAAACTAAAATAACCAAAAAAGTCAAAAAACTAAAAAACCAACCCACTTCTCAAACTAAGCCTTAGTTGTTGAACCCATCTTAATTCCTTTTTTTGGCCTCTTGGGAATCAAATCCTGATTCTGTCCTTGTAAGTAAGGGACTTAAAAAATAAATTAAAGTAGTGCAGGACATCAAACAAGGGAAAAGAAATCATCTAACATAATCGAATGAGGAGTTTGAGATGAATCACTGAGGTTAATGATTTCATATACATTTAAAAAAAAAAATATTGAATTCCATAAAAAATGCATCATGTTCTTCATATTTTTAGTTTTTCTTGTTTTCAAAAAGGGTGAATTATACAAATAGTCCCTATAGTTTGGGACTTGTGTCACTTTAATCATTGACTTTTCATTTGTGACACATTTGACCCTCAATCTTGAATTTTGTTCCAAATAAGGACAATTGAAGATACCATTAGATTTTTCAAAGGTGAAATAGTCAATTTGATAAAATTTAATCTAATTTCACAAAAATAAATGTCAAAAAAATATTTTTGAATTGTTAAAAATTATTTCTAACCACTAAAGATAAAATTATGTAAAACTGATAAATTTTTTAAACATTTATTTATTTTTTTTACCAAATTAATTTTTATTTTATGTTTGGATGATGATCATGTAAAATTAATTTTTAAAAATTAATCAAGTAATTTTTATTAATTTTGATCAATTTTACATAATTTTATCTTTAGTGGATAGAAATAATTTAAAAAAAAATAAAAATATTTTTTTGACATTTATTTTTGTCAAATTAGTTTATATTTTATTAAATTGACGATTTTGCCCTTAAAATTAAACAATTATATTTTCAATTGTTCTTATTTGAAACAAGATTCAAAATTCAGGATCAAATATGTCAGAATTGAAAAGTCAGAGATTAAAGTGACATAAGTCTTAAACCATAGAAACTGTTAGTGTAATTTGTTCTTTCAAAAATATTTGTTAGCAAAAGTCTTCTCTTGTTGTAACTATTATTTTCTTTTTTAAGTGTGGCTCTTACTAAGATCTTTATATTTAGCCGCATTTGTAGCAATTAAGGACTCAAAAATCCAAACATTGGATCTCATAAGAAAATGTCTAATCCATCATATTAACCCTTAATTTACCTTATACCCCAATTAAAACTAGCTAAATTATCCATACAACCTAAAATTCAATATTAAAAGCCTAACTATAAAAGGGTTGAGCTATATTGATGATACGAAAATACAACGGGTTAGTTTAGTTTTTAAATTAATATTTTGATCAAAAAATTAAAAAACATGTTTTGTTAACAAAATTTTAAAATTATTTTTTCTTTCTCCTCTCTCCTTCTATTTTTTTTATTATTAATAGATCATTAGTCACTTTTTCTCACTTCTCTCTCACTTTCTTATATTCTACACATCAATCAATCAAATTTATCTCACATCCATTTATTCAACTACAAAAAATAAAAAAAACTACAAATCATTCCAAAATTATTTTTAACACTCATAATCATACAAATTTTCAATTTTCAAAACTCTTTTTAATAACTTATGCTTTAAAATACTATTCAAAATTCAAAATTCTTTTAAAAAATCAAATCAAACAGAGCCAAAGTATGAATCACACATCAATAAAACAAGGGAGAGCAAAAAAAAGCATCAAAGCTAAGAAGATAAATCCCAACTGGATTCACATCAAGCAACAAGCCTAATCATGTATTAGTTCAACCCCACGGTTGATGAGAAGACAACCGAAGAAGAAGAAAAGAAAAAAAAAACAAAACACAAGAGGGCACCAAAATAGTACAACAGCTCCCATTCCTACTGCAGCACGAAAACACCAAGCCTCTGCCTCACACACAAACACTATCTGATTTAGATTTGTCACAATGTTATTGACAGGATAATTCACCCCTTTCAGGATAAAGGGTTGACTCTTGAGGCTAGACCATTAGGAGAAGTCATAGAGGCCACCAAATAGGAGAAGTCATAGAGGTCACATTTGGTGGTAAGTCACAAACTCGCATATAGATCGAAATTTAAATTTACACTCAAAATAATGTGTATAATTTGTCTAAACTTAAAGGCCATGTTTGATTCCACAAGACTAATAGTGAGGTATTAATAATCCAATCAAATTAGTGAGGTATTCACAATCCCACCCCTACCCCATTACTAATAATCCTACAAATTTGTTGGATTAATTATCCATTGGATTGATAATCCTAAAATAAAATGTCAAAACAAGCATAGGATAATTGGGCCCGCGGATTAATAATCCCAATCCCATACTCTAATCCTTCCAATCAAACATGCCAAAAAAGATTTATTCTACTAATCTTGCGTGCTAGCACATTTGATGACTAGTTCTAGTCCTTAGGACAACCAAACTCGAAACTTGAGGCAATAAAATTTACCACTAGTCAATCAATAAGCATGATTCAAGCTCAACTTAGCTTTAGTTAAAATAAAAAAAAGCTCGACTTAGCTTTAACCACCTTTATGTCAAGCTCAACTTAGCTCAACACTTTAATCTAACTTTCTAATATTTTAATGTAAATCGCATAATCCAGTTATGTAATTTTCGTTCTTACAACTTTAACAAAAAAATGTAATTTTCATAAGTTAGGCCTTTTTCAAATGAATAGTACAAATTAAATTCCTTTTAAAAGTGATTGGGTGTACTTAAAAGGAACTCAAAAAGAGCATTGTTATTAAAAATAAAAAATAAAAAATTAGATTTAAATTTTAAATTCAGTGATGTGGCAATTAATTAGGATATTAAGATCTCGTTTGGTAAGTGTCCTTTTTAGCAAAAAAGTCAAAAAGTTACTAAAAAATTAAAAAGTCAACAACCCATACCAAAAAGTCAAAGATTCTATTTTCTCTCTACTTTTTACATATCTTTTCGTAAAAAGTTAAAAAGTCATCCCAAACATATTAGTTTTTTTTACATCACATTTTAGTCAAAAAGCTAAAAAATTACTAAAAAAGCATGTTCCCAAATAAGGCCTAAATGTAACACTTTTTCTGTATTTTCTCTAATTATCAACTAATCATATTACTTATATCATTGAGTCTATAAAATCAATTTGTTTGGGATAAATTACAATAGCACACTTCTTATCTTTTTATTTTTTTTAGGTCATTTCACCTCTTTACTTTTCTGCACATTTTTTCATAAAAAAATAAAAAAATACACTTATTTAGATCATTCTAAACAAATAGACTTATATATCATTAGCTATTAAAAAAGTGTTATCACCACATTTATGTTGTCACTTTTTTTTTTCTTTTTTGTTTTTATTGGTAGAAATCTTAGCATTAGTAGTATATTCTTCGCAATAAGAAATGCTAAAAAATCATAATAATAATAATCTTTAGCGATAAGAATATATTCTTAATCATAAGAAATGTCAAAAAAAAAAAATTACATCTTAATAATTAGAACAAGATGAAAAACATGCATCATAATTAGAAGTCTTTGTAAAGCAGTGATTTTTCCAAATTTTAACTTTGAGTAGTCTTCTCCCTCTTTTTACTTTATTTTATAATATTAAAAAAACCGCCATCGCACTGCTTGGAAAGAAGCTCTCTTTCTTTCAGTCTCAGCTTCTCACCATCTCTCTCTCTACTTCCTTCCTTCTCATAGTTGATCAAAAAAGAAAGTTAACAAAGAGACCCCCCCACACTTGCATGAAAAGCAAAAGCAAAAAGCTTCACAAAAGCAAATCAAATTTGACAATGAAGAAGACAACGCATATTCATATAAGATCCCCTATACACTATCATAAGCTCATTATTCATCATCATTCTTCTTCGAGTTCTCATCAATGGCGTCTGAGATCGTCGTTGCAGAGCCCACAAACGAAGGCACTAGCAGTAGTAGTAGTAGTGGTTACAGAAGAGGGTATATTAGCAGGAACACCAGACCTTTTACGAGATCAATCACTTCTGGTCATGATCGTGTTCCTGAGCTCTTCGACAGTGAGAAATTGCCTGTTACTTTGGTTTCCGAGATTCAGAGGTTTCTTAGGGTTGCCAATTGGATCCAAATTGAAGAGCCTCGTGCTGCTTATCTTTGTAAGTTTTGTGTTGTAATTCAAAAAATATTGGTTGATTAGCTATTAGTGTTCAAAGTATGTTACCCAATTCATGTTATTCAGCAAGCTGAACCTTTTTAACTTTTAAATATATAAGCTTCATTAAACAGTCTGACATAGACTTTTAAATTAAAATGAGCTATAATCATCTCTTAGAATCTATACCAAACAGTCCCATTGTCAAATCGGAATCGACTTGTGAATCATTTTGCACAAATAGTGAATTGTGAATTATATGGAATTGTTAATTGTAAAATTCACTTTATTATTTCATTTTATACAAATAGGATTTGAAATAAAATAAATATCAATATAGCTAATTATATCTATCTATCTATACTATTATAAAGAGAAGCCTTCTCTTCTCTTGGTGTTTATGTATATCTTATTTTGGGTTTTTTCAAAATACCCTTATATCATTTATATGGGCACCTAAATTTATTTATTTATTTATTTTATTTAATTTTTTTTTTTTCCGAATCTCTCAAATTTTTTTTTTCCCAATTCATTTCAATTTTCGGATTTTGAATTCAAGCATATAGTTTACAATCTAATTTTCTAAAACAAAATGATTATATGTGCACGCATCGTGTACCCCCCGCTTCTAGTATATATAGCTATGGGTGCAAACGCGATGTGTTTATAATTTCACACTTAAAATCTATATATGGTTTGATGATTGAGGGATGATTTGACAAATGATGAGAACTTTTTAATAGTTTTGGACAGGTTGATGAAGCATGTATTGGATGCGATAGTTGTTGAATATGAAGGGCATTATTGAAAAATAATAAGAATAGTGTGATAGTTTACACGAAAAGAGGTGTAGGATTTATATAATAGATAGAAAATGACATGGTTTCATGCATTATGCAAGCAAAACTGAACCGTAGTGAATTGCAAAGAATTGTAGTACAACACAATTGAATCGTAAGATTCAACAACACGAATTGAATAATGTTGGTTGAAACTTGTATCGAATTGTAAGAGTCAAATCATGAATCGTAAGATTCTAACAACTATGGTTGTAAGAGTAATAATTTGGATGAATGAGTTCAAATTGTTTCTTGTGTGTTTGTGAACTGTAACATTTGGTTATCAATTGCAAGAATTTGGTTTTCCTTTACTATTATTTTGTTTTCCTGTTATTCTTTCTTTAGCCTAGGATGAAACAATAAAATATTTTGTTTGGTTGCTAAAAAAAATGAAGAGGGAAAAAGAGACTGATGTTTTGTTTCATTGGTTGTTGAATAATGAAAAGCAAGAATCAGAGATCATTCTATGTTCCTATATTTTCCTAGCAATGAAACAGGGCATAGGAGAAGTCAGTGGCAATAATTGGTTGCAGAAGGCAAAATATGGCGATATCCAATGTTTTTGTTTTACGTTCTAAGTGTGGAATATTGGTCATTGTGTGATGGTGTTTTGTGTGCAGGCCGCTTTCATGCTTTTGAAGTGGCACATAATTTGGATCGGAACTCAAATGGCCGGGGAGTACGGCAATTCAAAACTTCTCTTCTTCAGCGACTTGAACAGGTAATTACTGAACTGAATCCTTATAGCTAAAGGTATTCCTGGTGGAAAAAAAAAAAAATCCTTCAATATTGTTGTTTTACCAATGCCATTTCTTACTTGATATTGAGAATAATTTCTATTGAAGTTTCTTTAAGGGGGTGTTTGGATCATGGATTTGGATAGAGATTTGATGAAGGAAAGGAGAACGGTGAGGGAAATGGGAATGAAATATAAGCTAAATTTTTCTCTCCATTTCTTTTGCATTTCTAAATCCCTACTTAAATTCAGGGTCCAAACATAGTCTAAACATAGTCTAGAGGGAATATAAATGTGACAAAAGGTGTGGATAACCATACCATTCAATAGGAACAGTTTCATGAGTGGCATGCTCTGTATTGTGCTTCTCCCACTTCTCCTTGTCTTGTTGCATCCTCTTGATACTAGGACTTTAGGGCATGTTTGATTAGTGAGATTATAGTATAGGACTGGGATTGTTAGTCCATAGACTCACAATCCCATGCTTGATTGCAAATTTTATTAACCGGATTACATGTACGGCGGATATTTAATCAAACAAAATTGGCGAATTTTTAATATTGAGAGGTGTTGGGGATCATAATATCAAGTATGAAAGAAAAAAAAGAAAATGAATACATAATAAATGGTTAACTCACTAATTTAATTGGATAACTAATCCTACACTAATTCTTTGGATTGTTAATCCTTTCACTATTAATCTTGTTAATCAAACAAGGCCTCAGAGTATTAGCATTTTTCTCAGAAAAGATTGCTTTGTTAACAAACAGTATTGTTCATGCCCATGTATCTGGTATCTCACCATAATTCACTATAGCTCCGTTTGGGAAGTTGGTTTGTGGGTTTTTTTTGGGTAAAATAGCCACAAAAAACAAAATAGGCTTTTTAGTCCAATAAGACAAAACATCACATCCAACTCATAATCTTTACATTCTCTCTCTCACAAAAAGTCAAAAAAGCCAAAAAAGCCAAAAGCCCTTCCCAAATTAGGCTTTTTAGTCCTAGGCTAAAATAGCCAAAAAAGCAAAAAAACCAAAAAGCCAACCCACTTCCCAGTATAGTTTATGACTTGTTAGGTTCCAAAACTAAGCAGCAAGTGTACCACAACCTGTCTCATTCATTATGTTTGATTTGTCTGTGGAAGAATAGACCTTACAATGTCTAGCTTTGTTCATGAAAAATGAGTCTTTTCGCTCTTTTTACAAGAGAGCGTTTGACACCTTTATGCTCACCCTTTCATAGAATCATCCTATGAATATATGTGATAGCCTATGAAGCGTGCACACAAATATGAGATACAAATAATTATGATATGGATACGATGATATAAAAACCTGAAAAAATAAAATAATATATTAGTACAGCCAAGATACATTTATAAATATATATATATATATTATTAAAAAATTTAATATTGCATTATATATAAGAACTAGTAGCCATTTTACTTTTAAATTTTCAATAGGTCCTACAAAAAATTCCTTTTCAATATCAAGTCTAACTACTTATATTGCCTATTGCTTTTCCCAGTCACACTTAAAATATGTTATGCAAAAATGTTGTGTGTGTAATTTTATTTGCTTGTTTAATTGTTGAAATACGGTTTTAGTATCATTATATTTTCTCATGTATACTTACTTTTTATAAATATGGGACATATGTATGACACATTAAGAATATGTTAATTTGTTAATTCTTAAAAAGTAGGGTATTGCTTTAATCTTATTATTTTCTTCTTTCCTAAGAATTAAGCAAATTATTGAAAAAAAAATTCTGGTATTTATCCTAACAATTATGCTAATATTATTAAAAAATTATTACAATTTCAATTTCATAATAGTTTGGATACGTGACATGGAGTATTCGGAAAGTATACATATTTCTCAAAATTAAAGAAAATTATGAATATGTTTAGGAAGTATCGGATCTGTGTCTGCCTGTGTCTAAGGAGTAATTAGTATCCGATACAACTCCCTTCTAGAAGTATCTGTGCTTCATAGCCGATAGCTAGGTAATTCGTCATGTAGTCCTTCGTTTATTTGTTTTACTCATACTAATTATGTAGGCGAGTAGTTTCATTATAGGTCTTGGTTCACTAAGTTAAGCTGTCTGAATGATTGATTGTCATTGGCATCCCTGTACCTTGTGTCAAAATTTTCTTTAACATGTGAAAATAAGATACTTCCAATGATCATACCATATTTCAAAGCCAAAGCATGAGGATAAAAGTTACTGCAACTACATCCTCATTAATCTATGTTTTGGATAAAAGTTCAGCGTTTCAATATTTTCATGATCGTTAATTTGTTGTATACCATCTTCACTATGAGGAATAATAACTCAGATTTCTTTTAGAATTTTTTCTTTTCTTTTCCAGATTCTTTCCAGTTAGTCTCCTATATTCTCAGATTCCTGCTTTCCTTCTTCTTTGGTTATTACAGGATGAAGAATTTACTATTAGAAAAAGGAAAGAAAAGAGTGACATACGTGAACTCAAGCGTGTTTATCACAAGTACAGAGAATACATTATCAAACATGTCGGAGACTGTAATCTTGAAAACAGGTAATTGTTTCTGCTCTTATAGGAATTATGTTGTGCTTCTTTTGAACTGAAGTTTATGGGATATTTTTAGTTTCTGTTAGTTGAAAAAATGAAAACTCTCAAGTTACATCTTGACAGAGAAAATAAGGCACGTGCAATTGCTTCTGCACTGTTTGAAGTATTATGTACAGTTAGCAAAGCAGCTGGTTTGCAGGTATCTTCTTTTTCCATTTTTGTTTTTATTATTTGTTTCTGATATATATTTTAATTCTTCATCCTTCCTTATCCTTTTCGTTATTTAGCAGATTTCTCATAGGATTAAATTAATTTATTTTTACTTTTCATTTACTTAACAGGCCCTTGCCGATAAGGACAGCGCAAAATCTGAATTATTTGTGCCATATAATATTCTTCCACTTGATCAAGGAGGTGTTCATCATGCAATAACGCAACTCCCTGAGGTCTGATGTTGTGCAGAAAAAAATATCTATTTTAAGCCCCGTTAAGTTATTACAATAGTGTTAGCTACCCTTAAGTTATTAAGCCCCTCATTGCTACAGTTGTAAGAGTATTATGCTGTCAAGTGGCACATAATTGAGGCCGATTTACTGTGCCAAGTGATATCAGCGTGTTCTCTGCAGCACGCCCAAACTTTATAGAATCGAATGAGTTTTATGATAAACTAATAAAATGCTACAGATTAAAGCTGCAGTCTTTGCTGTTCGCAATGTTCGTGGTTTACCTTTCTTGGAAGATTTCAAGAAACGCATGGTGTACTTGGATTTATTTGATTGGCTTCAATTTTGCTTTGGATTTCAGGTAATGTCATCTAACATCTTTTATTTATTTTATAAATGGATTACATCCCAAATGGCCATGGAAATATAGAAATTTACTTGAATTTTTTTAGTTGTGTCTTTTCAATTTTGAGGATTTTTTTTGTTGTTGTTGAGTAAGAGGATTTCTTATTGCATTTGCGTTGAATTTCTCATCTCAGAAAGGAAATGTTGCAAACCAGAGGGAGCATCTGATTTTACTGCTTGCTAACACCCATATTCGGAAAATTCCTAAGCAAACAAATGTGTCGCAGGTACTTATGGAATTCCATACTTAAGCCTTTTTCTTTACAATGATTTGCTCTTAAATTTGAAATCTAAATTCTTTCATGGTGTTAGTTGGGAGATGAAGCTATCAATGAACTGATGAAGAAGTTTTTTAAAAATTATACAAGTTGGTGCAAATTTTTGGGGAGAAAAAGCAACATCCGGTAAGATTGATAGTTTAATACTCCTATCCTGTTCTTCTAATTAGAAATATCTTCACTTCCGTTTAACATGAACAAATCATGTATCGTTTCACCCTTTATGTTTTTTGTTTTTTCTTGTCGTACAAACTTGTTCTATTAATGCCTTTCTGTCTCCCATCTATGTTATTTACTTTTGTTTCTTCTTGCTTTTTGAACAATTCTGTCAAAAACATTTTCAAGCCAGTTGTCTTGTTCTTAATTTTTTTTGTTTATTTCTGTGCGTTTGTTCATCCATTTAATATTTTTTTTCCCCTTGTAGGTTGCCATATTTGAAACAGGAAGCCCGACAATATAAGCTTCTATATATAGGGCTTTATCTTCTTATATGGGGGGAGGCTGCAAACCTACGGTTTATGCCGGAGTTCCTCTGTTATATTTTTCACCATGTAAGCTGACTGTTTGGTTTTTTTAACCCATTGCGAAAAACTCAGATTTGTGTCATTGAGTTTAAAAGATGCAAGAAGGCATATTATTTGACAACATTGTGAAGGATTGATTTCTAAATATTTGTCTCTCACATCGTTCAGGAATAGACCAAAATCAAAGCATGACATTTAACAAAATTTTGTTGCAACAACATTTACAGCATGGATGTTCAGCTTTCTATAAATTCTTATGTCGTCTTCTTGTTCTGATCCTTCCATTTAAGTAACTCTTCGGAGGGTGATTGAATGTTCAAAGTGTATCTCAATTTCCCCCCACGAACCTCTTCATAGGCATTACAAAACCCTAAAAACACAACTAGTTTTTAAATTAGCCATGTCTAATATAGAAACAATGTAAGGTCTGAATTCCACTCCTAAATTTTTTTGACCTTCTATAAAAATGAATACACAGTAATATTTGAAAAAAAAGAAACAATTACACAGACTTGGATATCTTCCTTTTTTTTTTTTTTGATAAATCAGACTTGGATATCTAAATTACATCAACTGCTGAATTATTATCTATGTCAACTAGGCTCCAAATATTGATCTACACCATAAAGTTGGGCGCATGAAAGGGGTTATGACATTAGGTTGCATAATCTACACTTGAATATGGTTTAAATTAACTCAATAAACTATACAAGGGCTTAGTTGAGGAAAATTTATGAACACAAAGCAACTCCTGCTAGATAGGTAACAAAACACATATTACAAATCACATCTAGCGCTCGTGGGCATTTTTAAAATTATAATGTGTAGGTAATTAAATAGAAATCTTCAGATTGAATGTAAATTGGGTGTTTCTTTGATATATTTTTTTTTTTTTTTTTTTCAGATGGCATATGAACTGCATGGTATTTTGAATAGTGATATTAGCATGATTACTGGGGAAAGGGTCATGCCAGCTTATGGAGGACAGTCTGAGTCTTTTCTTAACAACGTAGTTTCCCCAATCTACACGGTCATACAAAAGGTACTTTGAGCTTCTAACTACATCTTTATGTATCTTTCTTTCATCTAACTTCCTTTTTTCCTCATCAATCATTGAAGGAAGCTATGAAAAACAAAAATGGGACAGCTGATCATTCTACATGGAGAAACTATGATGATTTAAACGAATACTTCTGGTTAGAATTATACTTGTAGTCACAAGTTTACTTTTACTTTTATTGTGCTTCTGATAAATTATCATCTACGTAAATGATGCTTTTAAGATGTTCATCTCATCTTCCATATCTGCAGGTCTCCTGATTGTTTTGAAATAGGTTGGCCCATGCGTCTGGACCACAATTTTTTCTGTGTACAACAATCGGACAATCGGAAGGTCAGAAAAGCTCGGGAATCAGTTAAGAATCTTCAGGAAAAGAAGAGAGAACAAAATGAAAATGAAGTAGACGTAGAGGTAAACTATGCATTGCTACATACCTATATTTGCTCATTTTTTTGAAATTACATGTATTATTTTTATATATGTATACATATATACATGTTATGCTGCAATGTAAATTTGTTTACAGATTGCTAGACCTCATTTTGGACCATAAATATGTGGTATATCTCAATTTTTCAGAAGAGAATATTACTGCTTCCAGATTTTTGGGTAATGAAAAATGTGCTTATGGTGCATGTCTTTATCTGTGTGTATATATACAACTGCATGTCTATTTATGCATGTATATCTGTAAACATTCACAGGTCAGTTTGTTTGAGTTTCCTATCAGTATGACTGGCTGCTTAGTTTTTTCTTTTCTTTTTCTTCTCTGTGTTTGTACTGGATACAGGATTACTCTGTCATTTCGCCCACTATATTCGATTTTTTTCCATTGAAACTTTCTTATAATAGGTAATATGAAACATAGAGTGATGATAATCTAAAGTGCATGCTGATGGGACTTGACTAAATAATTTGCACAGTTGATTACCACTGTGTAAAGGCATGGGTTACCTCTCTGTGTCTCAATCATTAAAAGTTCTTCATGAAATAGCATAGAATCTTTTCCTTGAAGTATGTCGTGGTGACATAAAAATAATGTTTTTGTGCTCAACAGTCAAATATTGATATGGGAAGGAAATTGCTGAGTTTGATGAGGGCGTCGTCATCAAGATTTTCCTAATGGATCATACCTTTCTCTCTTTTTTTCTTGGCTTATCTCTTAGCATATAGCAATTTCATAGATAATTATCAATATGTTTGAAACTGAGACTTAAAGAAACTGCATCTTTTTAATAAAATAAAAAAAAAAGAAGAAGAAGATAAAAGAGATTTATCTTAATTATTCCTTGTTGACAAAATATAAGGAATAATAGGATTTTAGTATACTCTTCCCATTGGCTGGCATATGAATGATTTGAATATCACCACAATAAAAAAATAATAAAAAATCTGTCAGCTCCATCTTTTGTTGTTTTTGCCTGCCTTTTTGCTAACAATAAGGTTCAGTTTTGGGGTTTTTCTTTTTTATTTTTCTTGTGCTTGTAGTGCCCAACAAACAGCATATGCCCGCCAATTTGGTGGTCGAAAAAAGCATGGCTGTGCCAAACTCTACTTGGACTAATTCACCGCTGCACACATGCTCACATAGACACTAACTAATGTATCTCCCATGATTTTGTTTTCTCATTAAGCTTGCTGCCAAAAAATTTCATCCAACCCCTTTGTGATATTCAGGCTACTACTGATGAAAAGCTGGAGCAAATATGGTTAGGGAAGACAAATTTTGTTGAGGTCCGATCGTTTTGGCATATTTTCAGGAGCTTTGATAGAATGTGGAGCTTTTTTATCCTATCTCTTCAGGTATCTTAAAATTGACAAAATCTGTTTAGCTACTGATTGTATCTTCTAAAAGTTTTGGCTCATATACACTGAATGGTTTTCTGTTGCTTTCTAGGCAATGATAATTATGGCATCTCATGATCTGGAATCTCCATTGCAAGTTTTTGATGCCACAATACTTGAGGACGTTATGAGCATCTTCATTACATCTGCAGTTCTTAAACTCATACAAGGTCTGGTACTGTATTCAGCTAGAACAATTTCTTCAAAGGCAAATGCAAGATGATAAGGCGTCTTTGTAAACCAAGTGTTAAATATTTCCTAATGATAATATAACAGGTTAACAACTACAAGACTATATATACTTAACTGAAACAACAATAAACACATGTACTTTAAAGAACCAGGAAAGTTTTGTCAGGAGTCATTTGTATACCACAATACAAATCAATGTTACATGGACTCTGGTACAAATGTCGAGTGTGGGCATGTATCTAAGTCTAATTCCCATGTTCAAGGACAAGGGGATACATCAAAATATTCATATTACTTCAGTTTTTTTTTTCTTATTTTCTATGGTAATATGGTTTTTACAAAGTGACATAAAGCATTTCATGTACAATACGGGAGTTTTATGCATAGTTATGTGGCAACTCTTTATGTATAGTTATATGGTAAACTGTAATTATTATATATGCTTTAGGAGTGAATGTCCAACTACACATGTCAAACACACATCCCATAAACTTACAATAGTGTCAACCATCAGGTTCTCCACACATTTCGAAGAGTCTGAGTAACATAGCTATAGATAATATGCTTAGGAGCTAAATAGGTTCATGATCTTCTCAAGAGAAAACCCGGAAATAAGTACGTAACTCAACTAAACATGCCTCAAATTGAATTATGTGTCTGCTATATTGATCCCTTTTCTCTAGTTGGCTTTTTGTAAAGTCATTCCCTTTGTGAAATCCTATACAGTCATCTTCTTTCTCAACCTCTTGGCACCTAACTTGCATAAAATCACTCCTCGTATGGATACATTTAATTGGTCTGCGTCGCATATGGTTGGACCATTTCAGATGACTCTTTCTCAATCCATGTGGCTTTTTAACTTCAATTCAATGCTTTTGTTTCTCATTGCACCTTTAGCTGCACATCCATTTGTACATATTCATTTTATAACCAATATTCATCTGTTAAAGTAGTTTCTTAGCTGCACAACATGCTATGCCAGTAATTGGTGAAACCAATGTAGACTACGTTTCCATTTCTTCTTAAAGTTAAAACTGAAATACAATGTTTTCTTTAGTCTCTCATATTACAAATGGGTAATGATAATTGACTCAATGACAAACTAAGGATGAAGACTGCTTAAGTTTTCAGCATTAAACTGGAGTGTTGGTTTTGCCAACTAAAATATTCATCTGGAGTGAGCTTGGCTGTTTCTATGGCATTCCATCTATGTATTGTGGACAATCATCAAAAAGCCTTGATATAAGCAATCATTAAAAAAGCCTTAATATTTCTCAAAATCCTTTGTGTTTGGAAATGGGTGGTTAATGTGTGACAGTTTGTCTTTTTGTTACTTTATTGAACATGAATAAGTGTAATTTTGATGTGATGTCGGCCGTGTAAAGAGCTTGTTTATCGGATTGAGAAGTTTTCTTGGATAATTTTGAAGATTTCACAGATTTTTCTGAAGGCTCTCTTCAAGTAGTTGGGTTCTCCACTTTGTGGTATTTAAGCAACACTTTAGAGAACCGTCCGTCTTTTATTTTCCCACCATTATGCCCTAAGGGTATTCATATCTTTCTTGATTAATGATTAATGTGGCTTGTCACACTTGTTACATGTAATTGACCATGATGCAGATGTAATGCTTCCGAACTCTTAAAATTCACTGAAATGTTTGTCATGGAGTTATGACCCTTGAAAGTCAGTTCTTTAGAATTAGAATGCTATTGTTAAGTTGAATGATGTTATTCCAAGTATTGCCTGGCTGTTTCCTGACTGATATTTATTTATTTATTTATTTTCAGCTATTCTTGACATAGTCTTTACATGGAAAGCTAGATCCACAATGCACTCCTCTCAAACCCTAAAACATGTACTGAAGGTTGGGGTTGCGGTGATATGGACTATTGTTCTTCCTGTATGTTATGCTGGCTCTAGAAGGAAATATACTTGTTACACGACAGATTATCATAGCTGGCTTGGAGAATGGTGTTATTCTCCTTATATGGTTGCAGTGACATTTTACTTGATGACCAATGCCGTAGATATGGTTCTTTTTTTTGTACCTTTGGTTGGCAGATATGTTGAGACCTCAAATTGCCGCATGGGTACCTTTTTGTCTTGGTGGACTCAGGTAAGATTCGTAATACGTTCTATTACATTTCGTATGCTTTCGGATCAACATTTGTTTCATCTATGTTTTCATTTTGAGCTGGAAAGTCACAGAATGCTCATAATTTTCAGTATTTGGAGTAGACCTTGATTTTTTCTTTTTTTTAAACCCAGAGCAGAGCAGGTTTTGTAACTAATTGATCATTGAAGGCATCAGTGCATATCAATCAATTATGATCATGTGTAGATAATGTCTCATAAATTATCAAATTCAGAATCAAAACCATAATACTCTATACCAGTTGAAAAATTATTAGTTGCATGTGGCTTCCATATTTGCATGTATTATTGTCATGCACTTAATGTTGCTGAATGACAATTTATAAGTTATATGTTGCTTAATGATTTTGTTTTGTGGTCTAGGCTTATTTGTGCAGTAAACATAGAGATGTAGCATTAGCAACTTCATCATTGGTGAATAGACAAACAATTCATCTTGTCTCCCAATCTGTGGTGTACAGTTGCCTACCAAAAGAACTGCAGGATAATAATTGAGAAAACATGCTTTACTTGTGAACATTAAATGCTTCCTAATTCGAAACTCGTCTCGTAAATTATTTGGCACACATAATACATAATTTGGGAACTTACTGAGAAATATTGTGATAAATTATGAAACTGGTAACAGTAATAGTGTTACAGAATAAGAATTGATAAAAAATAAAACAATAATAATAGGAGAAGAAAATAACAAGAACACTATACAGATACACAGCTAGTTGCACAGGATTTTCAATATTCCTAAATAGTTTTGATTCATTCTACGGAAGCATAAGTTGAGGTTGGATATTACTGGTTGCACTCCACTAAAAAGAATTACTATATACCCTCACTCGTATAGTGCTCAAAGCTAGTGCCACTTGTTATAGAAGTGCCTACTGAATACTGAATACAAGGATGTACCTGGTGCAGCTGATGTGGAAGTTTATAATTCAGTTGTACTTGGGAAAAGTATACATGGTTTCAATTGCTTCTAATAAAAATAATTAACCCAACAATGTCTCTATCATTATGCAAAGATTTTGGTAGACCCTGCACTGGAAAAAGGATATTGTAATGGGAACCACGAGTTGTCTTTAACAGTCTCTAGATGGCGGAGGAAGTATATTAAACTAATGCCTTCACTTTGGCATGCTCAAATGATGTTTGGCTCTCTTGCGACCTTTCATAGATAATAAAAACCGAGGCTTCATCAAGTCTTAGTTTCTTTAAGTTTGTCAGCTGCTGGGTAATTTAAATTTGAGCTTTTCAACTTCAATTGAGTTATAGGCAATTCTGCAATTTCATATTTGGTGGCCTTTCTCTGTAATAATTGTGATGGCTTCCTAGACAAGCTTAGTTGTGTATCGGGCCTTTGCTTATGGTTGGCACAAATCTTAAATAGGTTTGACAAGTTGAAAGTTTCTCATTTGTGACTGTTGAAGTCCTTGTCCTATTATAATGAGTAACAGCTAGCAACCTATATATATCCACGAAATTTTCAATTCAATAGAGGAAACTATAAAATTGATTATGCAATGCCAGCCTAAAAGAAACTGTGTTCACTGTAAAATCCAAAGTGCGACTGCTGGATTCTTCTTCTTTTACATATCATTATTACTACTGCACTCACTTATTTACAGAAGCCAGTTATCATCTTTCCAGATTTTAATGTAGACGCCTACAGTAGAATGGAAAGAATGGTATTGGCTTATCTATGAATGAGGTAGAGGCCATGTGTATATAATATATTCATGATACAATTTTGGAAACAATATAAACAAGGCTCTAAATCCGTGATTTATATAATCATGGATTTTATACGATCTAAAAAAATAAAAATATTCTAATTCCTATACTTAACATTCTAATTCCTATATTTAACACTCTCCTTCAAGCTGGCGTGAAGACATTCAACAAACGCAGCTTGTCAATGGATAACTAGAGCAACATCGGTCCCACAAGTTTTGTGAACATGTCTGCCAACTGCTGAGAAGAAGAGACAAAGGATGGACTCACAATGTCCAAACCTTTTCTCTAATGAAATGTATGCCAACCTCGATACGCTTGGTACGCTCATGAAGCATAGGATCAAAAGATAATATAATGGCATATTTGTTATCACAAAATAAAGAGGAAGGAACAGTCTCCTCAAAGCCCAACTCTGCTAAAATAGAGCAAAGCTAAAGAATCTCGCATGTCCCATGTGCATAGCTCGATACTCAGCCTCTGCAGAAGACCTAGCAATAACCGTCTGCTTCTTACTTTTTCACGATACAAGATGATCACAATAGAAAGTACAGAAGCCTGAAGTGGAACGCCGATTAGTCCTAGATCCTGGCATCCTGCATAGTCAACATCGGTGAAACAGGAGAGTCCAGATTAAAGATGAGCTGTGAAGAACAATCCCACGCCAGGAGAAGTCTTCAAATACCTCAAAATGTGATGAATCGCATCATGGTGCTTTGTGCGAGGTGTATGTACGAACTGACTCACAACACTAACCGCAAATGTCAAGTTAGGTCTAGGTCAAATAAATGAGGCGTCCAACAAGACGTTGATACATGCATGGGTCATCCAGCAACTCACCAAACTCTGATCTGAGCTTGACATTAGAATCCATAGAAGTAGAAGCAGGTTTACAACCTACCATACCAGTATCCTTAAGAAAGTCAAGAGTGTACTTCCTTTGAGACAAGGAGATCCCCTGCCTTGAACGAGCCACCTCAATTTTCAAAAAATATTTGAGACATCTCAGATCCTTAATATCAAAAGTTTGGCCCAAGTCTTTTACTTAACCAATGCCAAAAGAGTCATCACCTGTAAGAATAATGTCATCCATATAAACTAACAAGAGTATAAACTGACCCGCAGAATTACAGCGAATGAAACAAGTATGATCTGAGTGGCACTGAATAAAGCCTATAGCTATGATAACAAAACTGAAGCGACCAAACCATACTCGTGGAGACTGTTTTTGACCATATAAAAATTTGTGTAACGGACAAACTTTCTTTGAATACTGCCTCTCAACACGAAACCCAGGCGGAGGAGCAATGTAAATCGTCTCAAGCAGATCCCCATGAAGAAATACATTCTTGTCGTCAAGTTGATGAAGAGGCCAAGAATATGATGCTGCAAGGGAGATAAGGAGATGCACAGAAGTAAGGTTGGTGACAAGGGCAAAAGTGGTTCCAAAATCCTTGTTAGGGATCTATATGAAACATTTGGCCACCAGGCGGGCTTTGTAATGATCAACAAAGCCATCAACAAGATACTTTATAGGGAACACCTATTTACAACCAACAGTGCTTTTCCCGGGAGGTAAAAATACAAGATCCCAAGTGTGATTCTATTCTAAGGCCGCTGTCTCAGTTTGTATAGCCTTTACCTATTTAGGATTTTGAAGGGCCTCAGACACGGAACGAGGAATGGACACCGACTCAAGCTTGCCAAGGAAAGAACGATAAGAATCGGAAACCCTGTCATAGGAAAGATACTGAGAAATGGGATAATTAGTACTACTCAAATAACCCCAACGATCTGGAGAATGTCGATCCTGAGATAGGTTACGACGAAAAGGTGGAGGAGATAGAGCTAAAGGAGAAGAGTTACCTGACTTAGAGATTGGAGAGGCGGCAGGGGACAACTGAGTGTATGGGCGACGAGAGTATTCCAGCAATAGATTGAGAAGGAGGGAGGGGAACAACCTAATCTTTAACCTCGTCCAAAATTGGCACTAGGCGAACACCGGAAGTAATGGGAGGATAAGCCTGCAAAAGAGGGTTAATACCAAAGAAAGGAAAATCCTCACAAAAATTAACATCCAAAGTGTGGTGAAAATGACGAGACACAGGATCATAACACCTATACCCTTTGGACATGGAAGAGTACTCTAAGAAGACACAACGAATAGATGTGTCATCTAACTTATTGCGAGTGGGACTTCAATTTGAACAAAACAGGTACATCCAAAGACACGAGGTAAGAGAGGAAACAGAGTGGTAGTGGGCATAATATGAAACGGAGTGAGACCATGCAATATACGACTAGGGGTCCTATTAATGTGGTAAACAGGAGTAAAGTAAAGACAGCCATATGCCAATAAGACTTGGGAACACCCATACCCCAAAGAAAACACCAGATAACAGATATAATATGACGGTTTTGCGTTCAACAACACCATTTTGTTCAAGGGTCTGAGGACAAGTATGTTGTTGAAGAATACCGGTTTGATTAAGATGGGAACGAAATTTATTCCCTACCATTATCAAAACGGATATTCCTAACAATTGTATGAAACTGAGTTTTAACCATTTGTAAAAACTGAACAAAAAAGAGAAGCACGTCAGACTTGCGACGAAGTAGATAAACCCAAGTGCACCTAATTTGATCATCAATAAAAATCACATAATATCTATAACCAGACAAAGCAGTGACAAGGGATGGATTCCAAACATCAGAATGTATAATATCAAAGGCACTAGGAGCACGAGTCATAAGGGATATAGCTAGTAGGAGTATGCTTAGACAACTCACAAACCACATAATGAAATTTAAAATCTTTGCAAGCTTTATTAAATGAAGGAAAAAGTTGACATAAATATTGAAAATTAACATGACTCATACGAACACGCCATAATTCTAAAGTTTGAATATTAAAAACACAAGACATGGAAGTAGGCAAAATAGAGGCCTGAAAACTAGATAAAGAAGAAGAATGCTCGTCCAGTGGATCTCCAAAGTAGTAAAGCCTATCACGCTCACAGCCTTCGCCAAAAATCCTCTTCGAACTTAGGTCTTGTGAAAGGTAAGAAGAGGGTAAGAAGATGACAACACAATTAAATTGTTTGGCAAGACGACTAACGGATAAGAGATTATATGCAAAATTTGAAACATGTAAAACAGACGATAAAGTAATGGTAGGGGATAAAGACACTACACACTTATGACGAAAAGACGATGAAGAACCATTAGCAAGACACACAGGGACTGGAGAAGGAAGAAAGGAACTCACCTGTCACATGATCATTAGCCCTAGAATCCAAAACCCATGAGGAACTAGTAAATCGAATATGGAAAGCAGTAGAAGTACCTGTAGCAACTGTAGCAACCGTGAAAGATGATGGGCCATGAGAACTAGTAGTGAAAGATTCAAGCTGAGCATGAAGCTAACCAATCTGATTCTGCAACTCCTGTAAATTAGGGATATTAGGAGACCCAGGAGCAGAAGTAGCCTCCACTAAAGCAGTAGTGCGAGCGGTGCTAGTACTATGAGGGCGAGAAGAACGTTGCCTCAACTCAGGATGAAGTTTGAAGCAATGAGCCTTAACATGACCAGAAACATCACAATGATGACAAGTAACTGAACTAGTAGAACCCCGAGAACCAGACTTTGCAGCAAGAGCCATCTGATCAGATGAAACCGGAGACACAGGGGGAGGGCTCGGCTAAACCAGATGCTGGCGCTCATGATTATCAATGGTGGCAAAGGCCTTATTAAGAGATGGCATGGGTGATGTGTTTACAATCTGAGTTCGAAGAGATTCAAACTTAGAGTTTAAACCCATGAGAAATTGGTAAGTGTGTTGACGAACAAGGCGTTTGGACACGAGAAAGGCAATATCTGCTGGTAACTCAGTTAAGGGCTCATATTGAGTTAACCCTTCCCAATGGGCCGGAAGATATCCAAAGAACTGTGGCACAAAAGTCCCAAAGTAGACTAAGAGGCACGAGTAATATCCTCATAGAGCTCAAAGATGCGAGCATTATTATAAGCATGAGCATACATTTGTGACAAGGCATGCCATAGAATCAGAACTATGTCACAATGAAGGAACATATGTTAAATATGATTCTCTACGAAGTTGAACATCCATCCCAAGATAGTATAATTATCAATATCCCATTAGGCACAGGTAGGGTCTGTCGCAGCTGGTTGGGTAGTAGTAGGTAAAAATCAGGGGGCCTTTCCCTTTCTCCCTAAATAAAGTTTATGGGAGCGGCTCCATGCGGCAAAATTTTTCTCATTCAACACTAGACATGTAATACGATGAACAAGTGTGTGATGAGGAGAGAAAAATCAGAACTAATTGGGACAGGTTTTGTGGGTACATCAGAAGAGACAACAAGAGATGGCTCAGTCATGGTGGAATAATAGGGGTTAAAAAACACACAGAATCATAGCAAAACAGTCTGAAACAATGCAAGAAGCTGGCAAAAACTTAACGGCTTATCCAAATAAATGCTACCGAACAAACCCCTTAGCCCAATGAGCTAAGTAAATATAGAAAAGTGCTTACCATGTCAAAACAAGAACCTAGAAGGGTAAAAAGAAGTTCACACTGACCCAATACAGCAAGGGTCTAGTTGGCACTCAAAAAACCCTCGGCAAGAGAGGTGCGGAGGTATTGGAAGGGGAGAGAAAGGACTGTCAACTGGTGTAGAGGGAAGAGAAACGGTTGTCAGTGGATGGGTAAGGGAGGAAAGGGCTATTGGAGTGGTGGGTGTGGCTGTGGCTGTGGCTATAGACTACCAAAAGAGAGAGAAAGAGAGAGAAAAGGTGGCTAGGGTTTGGCTCTGATACCAAGAAGAATGAAAAGAACGGTATTGGCTTATCTATGAATGAGATAGATGCCATGTATATATAATATATTCATGATACAATTTAGGAAACAATATAAACAAGGCTCTGAATCCGTGATTCATACGATCACGATTTTATACAATCTACTAAAAATAAAAGCATGGTATTGGCTTGCTTATGAATGAGGTAGAGGCTATGTATATATAATATATTCACGATACAATTCAGGAAACAATATAAACAAGGCTCTAAATTCATGATTCATACGATCACGGATTTTATACAATCTACCAAAAATAAAAATATTATAATTCTTATATTCAACACCTACTTCCATACCTGATCCTCTTCCTATGTTTTGCAATTTGAAACCTCAAACTTCAAAATTTTCAGGAATTTTTATAATGTAAGTCTTGGATTTTTGAGAAGTATACAATCTAAATACTTTGGTACATCTTTTCCAAAACCACATACTACTATAAACTGCCACTCAACCTAAATCTATAATTGACAGCTTTATTTACTTTTCAGCTCTGTCTTACATCATATTTGAAATATACCAAAAACCTAGAAAGATAGGAGTTGATATGTTCATGATATTTGTAACATGGATACTTCAACTTGTGCAAAGTATGCATGTCGTGACACGAGGAGATGGGCAAGACTAGGGCTGTGCAAACGAACCGAGCCGAGTTGAGCTTGGCTGAGCTCAAGCTCGGCTCATTTATTGAGCTTGAGTTCGGCTCGATAAGGAACTAGGTTCGAGCTCAGCTCAATATATTTTTTTAAAATATTATTTATATTATTTAATATATAAATATTGTATTTATTCTATTATTTATATATATTTATATATTATTTAATATATAAATAATATATTTATTATATAATTTAAATAAAGATAAACAAGCCGAGCTTGACGAGCCGAGTTTATGCGAGCTCAAGCTCGGCTCATTTACTAATCAAACCGAGCCAAGCCGAGCTTGTTCATGAACAGCTTGGTTCATTTGCAACTCTAGGCATGACGAAAGATGTGTTTCAGACACTTGTTGGGTGCAATTGCATATCCAACAAATTTCTCTCAAATATGAACAATATGGGAATAACTTTTGTTTGTTAGAAGTTTTCTAGCTTACTTTCTTTAATTGTTTGATTTTTAATATATATATATATATATATATGATAAAATAGCATCCTTGTAATGTCTATAGATGGAAACTTACTTTTTAATAGTTCAGCTATGTTTTTGTGTATTAAGTTAATAGAAGGCACAGATGAGCTTGAGATCTACATACACACAACTCCAGTACTCGCATTTTAGTTTATGCAACATTGATTTTAAGCAGCGTGTTACTTTGTAGCTGATGTAGATTGGATAATTGGAAAATCCATATGAACCTGTTGTTATCTCTTGAAGGTGAAAAACTGTTTTAATCCTAATAATTTCCTTGCCTTAGTCATGAAACTCTTCCAATGGTATGAATTATTTGCCATTATAGTGTGATATATCAGATGAATTTCATTATTTTTTAAAGTTCAAATCTCTGGTTTTAAGTTCCTAGCATTTTATCTCTTATTATTTCTGTTGAACCGGAGTTGTTCTGTGTCATGGCCATAAGACTAAGATGCATTTATTTATGGCTTAGGTTTTCATCTGCTTGATTTTTGTTATGAACTCTGTGAACTTACCTTTAAAAACTCTTTGCATCATGTAGCCTAGACTATATATTGGACGAGGAATGCAAGAAAGCCAGGTCTCCCTTTTGAAGTATGTCCTTATTTGTGCCATAAAGTTATTCTTTTAGTCCTTCTTGTTCTCTAGTGACAACCCTCACTTGAGATGTGTATGCTCTCTTATTTGTAGGTATACATTGTTTTGGGTTCTTTTATTGTTAAGCAAGTTCTCCTTTAGCTACCACTTTGAGGTAATTATTTGGTTTTTCTTCTCGATGTTATTTTACAGTATTGCTTTTTGACCCTGGTGCATATTGATACTTGTTTCTATTGAAAAAATACAGATAAAACCACTTATCGCACCAACAAGACAAATCATGAAAATAGGGGTAAAAAATTATGAATGGCACGAGCTTTTTCCGAAAGGTACTATTTGTTGCTTTTAATGTCTTGTGTACACAAAATTGGAACAGGTTTATTGTTCTAGATTCATCTAACTTTAAGTGTCCTCCTAATTCAGTCAAGAGTAATGCTGGTGCAATCGCTGCTATTTGGGCTCCCATAATTCTTGTGAGTTTTCTACATAAGTATCATAATAAATCTCTTGTGGCTTTGAAGTTTGAATAAACAATATATGGGCTAGTCTTTTTTTTTTCCCTTTTTTTTTTTTTCAACAAAAGACTTGTTTCAACACTAGTCTCAAAAATATTAGTCCTAGTTCTCTGATAGTCAATTTTATACTCAGCAGATTGTTTAATTAATTCAGGCATATATAACAATTGCTTTTTCTTCAGGTATATTTTATGGACCCACAGATTTGGTATTCTGTTTTTTGTTCAATATTTGGTGGAGTTTATGGAATCTTGCATCATCTTGGCGAGGTGAGCTTTCTTGTTCTATTTGACTAAATATGTATGGTAAATTGGTAATCGCCTCACTTGTCTTTTTCTGAATAGATTCGGACATTGGGTATGCTGAGAAGTAGATTCCAGTCTTTGCCTTCTGCATTCAGTGCTTGCCTGGTCCCACCCCCATCAAGTAACGAAAAAGATGCCAAAAAAAAGAGTTTCTTCCAACAGAGATTCCAGAAGGTTCGCTTTTCTAATGACCTATGGCTAACTGCTTGGACTCTTGATATGTTTCTGATCTAGTTATTGTGAGGTCATTGTGTTTTAGGTGTCTGAAAATGAGAAGAACGGTATTGTTAAGTTCGTTCTGGTATGGAACCAAATTATCAGTAGCTTTCGGGAAGAGGATGTGATAAGTAACAGGTCATTTTGTAATTACAACAGCGTTCTTCTTCTATGTCTTTATACCAGTTGAAATTTAGTAAGAACGTGTTCATTGACAACAGGGAGATGGATTTGATGAAAATACCTTTGTCATCAGAGCTATTTTCTGGTGTGATTCGCTGGCCTGTTTTCCTTCTAGCAAATAAGGTGCGATGTCTATTTTATTTTATTTGTTTTTTTGCAACTCAATGCTACTACTATTTTTATTAATCTCTGCATCTTCCTATTCTTTACAGTTTTCAACAGCATTGAGCATTGCAACAGATTTTGTTGGAAAGGATGGGAATCTTCATAGAAAGATTAGAAAAGACAACAACATGTATTGTGCAGTAAAGGAGTGCTATGAATTGCTGAAGTATATCCTTGAGATACTTGTAGTAGGTGAGCTGGAGAGAAGGTAAGAATTAGTGGCATCATTTGATGAAATTACCTTTTCATATATGTCACCTAAGAAACACGGACAACTCTATAGAGGAGGCAGTGTGTCATGTCGGACATGACACAGCAGATACTCCTAAAAAGCATGTCCGACACTTCTTCAATGTGTATTAATTAAAAATGTAAATTCAAAATATCAGACACTTTACAAACACTTCTCAGAAGCTTTGACTTTGAACCCTCAAAACACGACCTATGTGATGAATCTCTTCATAGTAACAATGTTCTATATTCTTTGGAATGCAACTTATTCACTTTGAATATGTTTTGAAACATTTATGAGATGAATATGTCATGTGTATTTCTATATTCTATAATTGTTTGTCATTATTTAGATTGTAATTGTTACATGAATGATATTTTGATATTTAACTTATGGAATATATGACTTTTTAATTTTAATTAGTGTTATGTTGTTTTTTCATTAGCTTTGAATAAACTATCCATATTTTATAAATTTAAAAAATTTTAATGTCCCAAGTGTATCTGCAATTTTTGAAATCAGCGTATCGGCGTATCAATGTCATGTCCGTGTCGTATCATGTATCTGATGTATCTGTGCTGCTTACTATGTCCATTAAATTTGATAATTTTCTACATTTGGCAAATAGCTAACAATCAACTCATATAAATTTTTAAGTTGTTTAGGAATGAGCCCCACAATGTATGTGTCAAGCTCTCACACCCTCTCTTATGTGTGAGTTCCTCTTGGATGTGTAACAAGACAAACACAAATTGAACTGGATCGGATACACAAGCATGTCCAAAATGTAGTGCACAAAAACAAACATAACGAGGAACAAACACATACAAAGAGACTTGAATCCAAGACCTTAGGACCAAAGATTTATGCCATGTTAACTACCAACTCATTTGAAAGTTCAAGTAAATTAGGCAATGGGTCCAATAATATATATATATGTCAAGCTCTCGTACAAGTTATGCATTGAATATTCTGCATTGCTAGCCAACAATTCGATACCTGCTATGCACTTCAAGCTTCTAACATGTTTTTCCTCTCTGGTTGCATTGCTTTTAAGGATTATTTCTGGCATATTTGATGAGATTGAAGGAAACATTGAAAGATCAAGCCTTCTTGAAAATTTCAAGATGAGTGAATTACCATCTCTACAGTATAAATGCGTCGAGTTAGTAGAACTGCTGGTAACTGTTGCACTTTAAAAGTCTAGTTCTAGGTTTGAGTAGGCTTAATTTTTTCCTCCAACTTTTTTGAATCTTGGCAATGTTATATTTTACATTTAAGGTCGAGGGAAATGGAGACCATCGTAATAAAGTTGTGAAAGCACTCCAAGACATTTTTGAGCTTGTAACATACAACATGATGGCAAATGGTTCCAGGTTTGTGTGAGAATATTAGGTTTTATGTATATATACATCATTTTATAGTACTCAATTTACCAAAATTCAGTCGCAATGGATGCAGAATATTGGATTCACTTTACTCTGAACAAGAAATAGAGGTAGAGGAAACTGAATTTTTCGGCCATATTGAACCAGAGTTATTTGCATCAAATCATTCTATACATTTCCCGTTGCCAGATAGTGGCCCTATGAATGAGCAGGTGATTCTATTTACATCTTTTCATGATATTTCTTAGCAATGGATGCAGAATATTGGATTCACTTTACTCTGAACAAGAAATAGAGGTAGAGGAAACTGAATTTTTCGGCCATATTGAACCAGAGTTATTTGCATCAAATCATTCTATACATTTCCCGTTGCCAGATACTGGCCTTATGAATGAGCAGGTGATTCTATTTACATCGTTTCATGATATTTCTTCGTTGGACTTTTGATTACAATATTGGCATCTGGGGCCTGATCTGATATTTGGGTCAAAATCATGAATCTAAATTTGAGCTCACAGGCCATTTAAATTATGGTTTCTGTTGTAAATAAGACAAATTTATGTGCATATACACACCAAAAGACATGTCAGAGGCTTGCAACACATAATACATGTAATTAAGTTGTCAATCTTTGGATGGCAGATCAAGCGTTTTCTTTTGCTGCTTACTGTCAAAGATACAGCTATGGACATACCCTCAAATTTGGAGGCTCGGAGACGTATTTCATTCTTCGCTACATCTCTCTTTATGAATATACCTAGTGCTCCTAAAGTGCGTAACATGTTGTCATTCAGGTAGATACTCTTTTGTATTATTTTCATTTCTTTGTGATTTGTGGTGGTATGGTGTTGTTTTCCTTAATATGTATTTGTCATCTTTTGCATGTACAATTTGTAGAAAGAAAGCAGTCTAATAAGAATTACCTTTTTTTAACATAGAAACTGTTTCCCAATCAAGATCAAGTTATGCTCTTGGCATTTGTCCAATTTGCACCATCATGTAATTACAGTAGGGAAATAAAGGACAGCAAAGCTTAGGTGTGGTTATGGTTATGGTTTTTCTTATTCTCCATGATCATGTGTGTCTTTAAGACATTTCATCCTCTATTTCAATTTTTTGTTTTCTTAATTTTAGCTTTGTGTTTGTCTTGCGAGACAGGGGTGAGGATTATATAATATGGGAATCTAAATTTGAGCTCACAGGCCATTTAAATTATGGTTTCTGTTGTAAATAAGACAAATTTATGTGCATATACACACCAAAAGACATGTCAGAGGCTTGCAACACATAATACATGTAATTAAGTTGTCAATCTTTGGATGGCAGATCAAGCGTTTTCTTTTGCTGCTTACTGTCAAAGATACAGCTATGGACATACCCTCAAATTTGGAGGCTCGGAGACGTATTTCATTCTTCGCTACATCTCTCTTTATGAATATACCTAGTGCTCCTAAAGTGCGTAACATGTTGTCATTCAGGTAGATACTCTTTTGTATTATTTTCATTTCTTTGTGATTTGTGGTGGTATGGTGTTATTTTCCTTAATATGTATTTGTCATCTTTTGCATGTACAATTTGTAGAAAGAAAGCAATCTAATAAGAATTACCTTTTTTTAACATAGAAACTGTTTCCCAATCAAGATCAAGTTATGCTCTTGGCATTTGTCCAATTTGCACCATCATGTAATTACAGTAGGGAAATAAAGGACAGCAAAGCTTAGGTGTGGTTACGGTTATGGTTTTTCTTATTCTCCATGATCATGTGTGTCTTTAAGACGTTTCATCCTCTATTTCAATTTTTTGTTTTCTTACTAATTTTGGCTTTGTGTTTGTCTTGAGAGACAGGGGTGAGGATTATATAATATGGGGTTTTAGTTTTATGGGAGATTGAGATTTAAGTAAACTGTAAAAACTATAGCCACATGACTAGTGCTTCATATAGGCTAACCAATTTGATTACCTAAACAATGGTTAAAAATATACATCATAAAAATTAGACAAAACATGCACTAGCATCATGCAAAAGGGTGTTTAGGAGCATTCGTAAGGAGAAGAAAGGTACTTGTTAAAAAAATACTTGCCCCAAAAGCTTAAATTTGGAAATTGGTGAAATAATGTTCGTCAAGCACTCATACTATCCCTCAGAAGCAACCACTTCACCAGTGGGGAAAGAGAGAGAGGGAGAGAAAAGAAACAGGGTGCAACAAATTTATAGAAAAAAAGGCACATGGATGAATAAGTGGAAGAACTGATACACATAGAGAGTCTTGAACTCTTGCCATGCTAGATATCCACTAGGCCCAAAGTTTAAGATGTTAGGAAATAGGCAGAACATGTATCAAACTCTAGTTGTACTCTCAGTAGGTTTGAGGAACAATTCAATCTATGACCAAAACAGGTTTATATGTTGGTAAAATCAACTAAAATGCATGAGAAGAATTAATCTTTGCATGGCCAAGGTTTTTCCGGTTATTTTAGTTGTGCTGTGAAATTCAATTGCTTAATTTAGTGGAACCATTTTTTTTTTTTCAACCTAGTAAAATATTTCTTTCTACTTGAAGTTCAAGAATGGACAAGGAACCACTCTCAAGAAACACAAGTGGCAAAGAACAAATGTTAACATTTGATGAGAAATGAAAGAAAATACACTGAAGTTCACTGGATGGAAATTAGACTGTTTGAGTCAGTTTTACCAAATGTTCACCTTTGTTGTACAGTGCTTCTAAGCACGATGTTTGAACATGCGTTTACATTGCCTTGCGGTATGCTCTTTTGGAATGCAATTTTACACTGAATGAACCAGCAAGTCAACAACAATGCCTTGTGTGCCAAACCTACTTATGCAAACTCAATGATCATGAGCATGGCTTTCTAGCCAAACTTGCACCTCATGACACTAAGCCATTCAGTGGTTTAGAAAACTCCAGTTTACAACTTTGTGATAAGTTGTTAGGAAAGAGGTCTAACAATGCGCATTGAGCTTTTCCACACCCTCCTTCACGTGCAAGAGATGTAGACATCCAATCAAGTAGAGAAAGATAATGCAAGTCGGAAAACAAATGCAAATGATGAGACTTGAACCCAAGACCTCTCCTAACTTGATACCATGTTAAAAGCTTGTTAGGAAAGAATCCCAACAATGCATATCAAGCTCTCCAATATCACAAATGTCACATGTTAATTCCTGGATTATCAATCTTGTGAGGAGAATATATCCTCAAAATGTTTACTCAACTAATATTAGCTGTTCTATAAGACATCGGTACTTTGTAATTATGTCTTTTGTAGAGATCTGATTAAATTACCAATTATCTTGATTCAGTATATTGTCTTTTATTTGCAGTGTTTTGACTCCGCACTTCACGGAAGAAGTTATATTTTCAGCAAAGGAAATTAGTTCAAGCAAAGAAGAGGTTTCCATCAACTTTTATATGCAAAAGATATATCCAGGTGCACAGGAAATAAGACTGAGTATTTGTAAATTGATTTTTCATTACATCCAATTGGAGCCTTAGCACTTGACTGTTTTCATATCTCATACATTTTTTTCACAGATGAGTGGAAAAACTTTTTGGAACGCATGAGGATTGAAAATTTAGACGGATCGAAAGTTGAAACTGATGCAGAAGTTCTGAAAGATCATAGAAATTGGACTTCTTTCCGGGGACAAACTCTGAGCAGAACAGGTGAGTGGCAATCATCCAGTATGTTCTTGGAAATTAGTGTTAATTACAAACTAGCTCTAAATGTGGTGGTTCTCTATGTAGCCTTTACTTTTTGTGTTCTATGTTTACAACAGTACGAGGAATGATGTACTACAGGGAAGCCCTGAAATTACAAGCTTTTCTCGACATGGCTGAAGATGAAGGTTTGTTGCATGAATGCACTAAGTTGAACTTCCGATGTAGAAATTGGTATTCAACAGTCTTTTGACAACTGAATGTTTTATATTATTCATTTGGGTTAATTCCACTTTTATCCCTAAACTATTTTCATTTTTCCTATTTCATTCCTAAACTATCAATTTCGTATGTTTGGTCCCTAAAGTTTATAATTACAGTTCATCTAGTCTAATTGGAGACAGTCTATCCAATGTAATGCTGGAAACTCAGCCTAACAGGTAAAAATGTAATTTTACATTTTAGATGGCTTAAATCATACAATCGAACACCCCATCTTCTTGCTCACACTATATTAAACAATTTACACCCTACATTCCATGCTTCATTTTGAAGTAGTGAATACAAAATTGAGTTTTTTCTTATATGGTTTAAATTGTTCAAATTTTGGTATGACTTTTTTGTCCATCAAATTAAGCTTTAATGTGAACAACCGTCTCCAATTGGACTGCATTAGCTGAAAACCCTAAACCCGTAACCCTATTCATTATACTACAGTGAAAGCCCAATGTGAGGCCTATTTACATGGCTGGAGATTATTTACCAAGGTTTAGTTTCTCTAACTGTTTTGTTGGCCAATTGGCCCAATCTGTTCATCCAGATATTCTTCAAGGTTATGACGCCATTGACAGGAGAAATGATACATTATCAGCTCAACTAGATGCCCTAGCAGATATGAAATTTACTTATGTCATTTCATGTCAAATGTTTGGATCACAAAAATCTGCTGGAGATCCCCAAGCCCAAGATATACTTGACTTGATGATTAGGTAATCCTTTTCTAGCAAAAGGAGATCATTTATTTATTTATTTATTTATTTTTACACAATCTATAAGTTTTACAAGCTATTCGATGTTAGCTTTCCAATTGTTGCTTGAAGGTACCCATCACTCCGTGTTGCTTATGTTGAAGAGAAAGAAGAGATTGTGGAAAATAAGCCTGTAAAGGTTTACTCTTCCGTATTAGTTAAAGCTGTCAATGGTTTTGACCAGGTAGTGGACAGATGCAATCTGTAACAGCTGTCAAATTCAATGTCTAATATAGTTTTGACAACAGTCTACTTGATATTATTTGTCCAATTTTATATGGGTTGCCCACTCATTTCTTTGAAATAAATCCTTGTTTTCTGGAGCTTAAATGAAAATATTTAACTTACAGAACTGATAAAATGAAACTGGTTTGCATAATTTAAATTATATATTGCTTTGGTGTTTATAATTGCATATATTGCTACTTTCAATCTCTGTAAATTGTACACTGATTTTTTTCTTTTTATATGGGTGTTTAATTCCTGAATTGTTTACTCATACACACTAGGAGAGGTTCCTAATAAGATGCATGCATTCATATGTTTTCTAATTTAAAAAGCCATTAAATGGCTTACCAATGTTTAGCTTGTTGATTTAGTTCAAGAAAATTAAACCCTACTAATTTCTCACACATTGGAAATATTTAGTTCTGAAAATAATTAAATGTTGCACGAAACCAGGAAAATTTGCTAACATGTTTAAGCCTGAACTTTGCTTAGAGATATGATAACCTACAATAACTTAATCCAAACCAGGATAAGACATTCACAAATACAAAATGTAGGGGAAAACATAATTACTTGAAACTCTTTCCTCTAGCGGAACTCACCACCATATTTCTGCCTCCCAGTTTTTTTTTTTTTTTTAAACCTTCGTAATTAGACGGACGGAATAAGGGGGGATTAGAATCTATCGGATTTGAATCCTGGGACTGTGAATCCCCTGGACTAGTTGGTTGGATTGGATATGTATCCTGTGTTTGTTTTTTTATGGGATTAGATGTCTGGAAATGACTATTTTTAGTGAATCTAACGTTTGGTTGGACGGACTGGATAGGATAAATGACCAAAAGACTATTTTACCTTTTTTCAATTGTTTATTAAATAATAGCAATGCTAAACATATTTTTAATATTTTATTTTATTTTTTACACATTTAAATAAATTTATTTTTTAAAAATTAAATAAATAAAATAAATAAAATATCAATAAAAATATATGTTATTTTTTAATTAAAATTTTAAATAAATTTGTTTTTAAAAGTAATAATAATTAAACAATGAAATTAAATAAAACATCTATTAAAATTTAAATAATGAAATTAAATAAAATATAAACAAAATTTTAAAATAAAGCATCAACAAAATATCTATAAAAAATTATTTTAAAAAAATTAAATAAATAAAACATCAATAAAAAGTTAAATAAAATTATTTTATTTTTAAATTGAGACATTTAAATTTATTGAATTTTACTAAATAAATATAATTAAATAGTAGAGGATCAAAATGGTCATTTTATCACCTAATCCCAACAGTGGATTGTCCCCCAAAAATTGTCCCACACCCCCCTAGGACACAATAGTCCCCCCCATCATGAGGATAAGGAGTCCGGCCGGACTCCATGTCCGGCCGGACTCCATGTCCGGCGGACTAAAAAAAAAACAGACGGCTGATTGGATGTTTCCTTCGGATTACAATCCGCACAGAAAATAGTCTCCTCCCTTATCCCCACAATCAAACACACCCTAAGGTGAATGTAAATTAAAAATGGTAATAGATTATAGACCACTAATTTATTACATCATAAGCTATTTAACTACCTATACTAGGTTATCTGCATCCTTGCAATGCTACTTAATTGAATGTATTGTTCATATGACTTCACTCATTTATATTTATTTATTTATTTAATCAATGAAATCAAGAAAGCCTAGCATTTTTTTTATGAAGTTTGAAATTCTGTAATAAACTTGTCTTGGATAAACTGTTAATTTTTATAGGAGATATATCGCATAAAGCTTCCAGGTCCACCAAATATTGGGGAGGGGAAGCCTGAGAATCAAAATCATTCCATAATTTTCACACGTGGTGAAGCTCTCCAAGCAATTGATATGAACCAAGTAAGCTCAGCCTCCAATTCCTAAAAGATGGCTTTTATGCATTTTGTTTATATATCCATATTATACATGTTCTTGCAGGATAATTACATGGAAGAAGCTTTCAAAATGAGAAATGTATTACAAGAATTTCTACAGCACCAAGGACGTCCACCAACTATACTTGGGTTGAGAGAACACATATTCACAGGAAGGTTAGATGGTAGATCCTTAAATTATAATTAATACAAGATTCACCTTCATGAGTAAACTGAAGAGAGTTTGATGAGGAAGTTTTCAAACAATTCGTGCAACACATTTTAGCTGCGTTTGGAATTCTTTTTTGACTGATGTTTATGCTTTAAAAATGAAGTATATCCCATAAACATAGCAAAATCAATAAACACTCATCAAGTGCACAAAACAATCATTGAAATTATATTTGAATAGAAAATAGAATTCTCAAATAGTATAACACACCTTCACATACATTGATGCTGGTTACCTTTGCACTAATCCAATTTAGAATGGATAAGTGTAAAAATATATGTATTATTGATTGATGTATTACAAGATTGATAAATTACAATTCCTATACAATCTATATATAGAAGAAAATGTGGTAGTAGGTGTAGTGGAGGTGATAGTGGGTTAGGTGAAGTGGAGTGTGTGGTGATGTATTACAAGATTGATAAATTACAATTCCTATACAATCTATATATAGAAGAAAATGTGGTAGTAGGTGTAGTGGAGGTGATAGTGGGTTAGGTGAAGTGGAGTGTGTGGTGAAGTGGAGGTAGGTGAAGTGGAGTGTGTAGTGGAGTAGGTGAAGGTAAAGATGGGAAATTCTAACAATAAGGAAGATACTTGGGACTTGGAAGATGATGCTAACACTATGTGGAATTCGATGGCCAATTGTATGAGGAGAATCTCAAGGGAAGTGCTTGGAGAGTCGAAAGGAACGGGACCCAGCTCTAGGAAAACTTGGTGGTGGAGAGAAGAAGTTCAAGCGGTAGCTAAGGCAAAAAAAGAGTGCTTTAAAAAGTGGCAAAAGGATAGAACTGAGGAAAACTTTAAGAGCTATAGATTGGCTAATAAGGAGGTCAAGAAAGTAGTAAGAGAGGCTAAGTTAAAAGCTTATGATGATGACCTATACACTAGACTAGATAGTAAGGAGGGAGAGAAGAGGATATACAAATTTGCTAAGATACGGAGAAGAAAAACAAGAGATTTTAATCAAGTTAAGTGCATCAAGAGTGAGGATTCTAAGGTATTGGTGAGGAATGAAGAGATTAAGGAAAGATGGAAGAATTATTTTGAGAAACTATTAAATGAGGACCATGGAGGTACGGCAATAAGAGAAGAAATAGCCAGTAATATGATACACCAAGACTATAGGTTCTATTGCAGGATTAGGAATTTTGAAGTGGAGATTGCACTTAAGAAGATGGAATCAAATAAGGCTTTAGGACCAGATGATATCCCTATTGAAGCTTGGAAGTATTTGGGTAAAAATAGGATTACTTGATTGACTAGGTTGTTTGGCAAAGTTTTGTTGACTAGGAACATGCCAGATGAGTGGAGGAAGAGTATTTTAGTGCCAATCTATAAAAATAAAGGAGATGTCCAGAATTGCAACACTTATAGAGGAATCAAGCTAATGTGTCATATAATGAAAGTGTGGAAGAGGGTGATAGAACGCCGATTGCGAGATATAACAGAGGTGTCAGAGAATCAATTTGGGTTTATGCCTGGCAGGCAAGGTTCTGAAAAGGGGTTGCGGTCGTCGTAATGGTAGCGGTGACACGGTTGCCAGGTGTAAAGGGCGTAGTGTAACGGTTGCGGTAACCGAAACCGTGAATTTTTTTATTTTTCGCACAATTTGAAAAAAACTTACTTTTCCATGATCATATTTATTGGATTAAAAATAAATATTGATCAATTTTTGTAAATTTTTTAGTATGATCCAATATATTTCATATTTTTAAATCACTATAAACTGAGTTTTTTACATTTTATTTTAATAATTAATGACTTTATATTATATAAAAATTCAATCACTAACTATTATATATAAGATAAACAATGACAAAAGTATGAGAATAAATAAGAGCCTAAATATATATATATCTACATATTTTAACCAAACCAAATAGATAATGACCACACTTATTATTATTATTATTATTATTATTATTTTCAAACAATATATAGATAGACACACACAAACAAAATGGTTTAGTGATAGCAGCTAAATAGCATAACATAGGTCATACAGTTTCAACAAATCAATAACATGTTCTTCATCTTTTCTCTTCTCTCTCTCTATCTCTTGCTCCTCCATTTTCTCTCTTTATTTTCCCTCTTCTCTCTATCCCTCTTCCCCCATTTTCAACTTTTTTTTTTGTTTTTTTCAAAAGAAACAGTTTGAAACCGTTACGTAATGGTGCGTAACAGGCTGTTACGGCTATTACGGCACCGTTACGACTGCTACGGCAGCCGTTACAGCCGCTACACCTGTGAATCTCAATCACACTACAAAAGCAGCCGTAACGGGTGACGGTAACTGCTAAAACCGTTACGTAACGGCGTTACATAATGGTTGTGGCCGCTTTTTAAAACCTTGCTGGCAGGCCAACAATGGAAGCAATTTATTTTTTGAGGAGAGCTTAGTTGCGCAAAGCGGGAGCAGGGTCTGGAGCGGGAGCGAGATAAATTTCCCATTTTGCCCTTCTTTTAAATTCATAAATAATATAAAAAGTACAATTATGACATTAATATTCTCAAAAAAGTGTACTATCAAGGGTAATTTTGGAAAACCAACTTTTTAAAAGTACAATAATTGTACTACCAAAAAAAGTTGGATTCCCCAAAAGGGACCATTATTTTGGGACGGAGGGAGTAATGTTTTTTTATTATATATTTATATGTATATATATGATATATATATTAAATAATAATGTGTTGATGTTTTTATTTTTATTTTTTAAGAATATGTATTTATATAAAGATTATATATGTTTCATCTTTTATATATATATATATATATATATATTACTTATATTAGATGTATATCATGACAGAAGGCCAGAGAGAAAGAGAGTGCGAGTGAGATGAAGGCAGAACGCAAAGACGAAGGCAAAGGAGACGATGACGATCAGCAAGGAGACGATCTGCGAGGGAGAGAAAGAGAGAGAGAAAGACGATCTGCTAGAGAGAGAGAGAGACGAATTGGGACAGAGATGAAAAACACACATATAGAGAGACGACCTTCGAAGTGATGAAAGAAGAAGAAAAACGAAGCAAAGGAAGACATACCCAGAGACGACCTTCAGGTTCTTCTTCACCTTCTTTCTCCTCTCTCTCTTTGTTGACCAATAAGTTAGGGTTTTTGTTCATAGCCACCAACGATCCCATCTTGGACAGGATCGCGTTTCTCTCTCTACAGAAACGCGATTCTTACACGTTTCTTTCTAAGAAATGCGAAATCGCGTTTCTTACGAAGATTCGTCACCTGGTTGCACGATTCCTGCAACTAAGAAGGAGAGTAATAGAAAAGTATAGAGAAAAGAAAAGAGACATTCATATAATGTTTATTGACCTTGAGAAAGCATATAATAAAGTGCCTCAGAATATAATATGGTGGGTGTTAGCAAAGAAATGGGTGACAAAATGTTACATTGATGTGATTAGGGACATGTATAAGGGGGTGGTGACCATTATTAGATCACCTGCTGGAGAGACAAATGAATTTCTTATCACTGTAGGGTTAAACCAGGATTTACCTTAAGTCCTTATCTTTTTACTTTAGTTATGGATGAGTTGACGAGATATACCCAGGATGACGTGCCATGGTGTATGTTTTTTGCAAACGATATAGTGCTAGTAGATGAGATTATAGAAGGAGTTAATACAAAGTTAGAGATTTGGAGAAAAACTCTTGAATCTAAAAGATTCCGAATAAGTAGAATTAAGACAGAGTACATGGAGTGTAAATTTAGTAACAGTAACAATGAAAGCAGAGAAGAAGTAAAGACTGAGAACCAAGAATTGTCTAAGAGTGAACATTTTCGTTATTTAGGGTCGATTATCACAATAGTAGGGGAGATTGATGCGGATGTAGCCCATAGGATTAAGGCGGGATGGTGTAAGTGGAGAAGTATGTCTGGGGTACTGTGTGATAAACGAATACCCACTAGACTTAAAGGTAAGTTCTATAGAACGACTACTAGACCAGCGATGTTGTATGGGACGGAGTGTTGGATAACTAAGAAACAACATGAAGATAAGATGAGTATGACTGAGATGAGAATGCTAAGGTGGATGTGTGGCAAGACCAGACAAGACAAAATTAGGAATGAGTGTATTCGGTAATGGATAGGAGTAGCACCGACAGAAGATAAGTTGAGAGAGAATCGATTGAGATGGTTTGGTCATATTCAACGAAGACCAACAGAAGCAGTAGTGAAGAGATGCGATACTGTAACAGTAGATGGAAGTGTTAGGGGACGAGGTATGCCTAGATTAACATTGGTTAGCATTGTAAATAGAGATATGAATCTATTTAATTTGATTAATGAAATAGCCTTTGATAGAGCCGTGTGGAGAAGAAGGATTCATGTAGCCAATTCCATTTGATGGGACTTAAGGCTTGGTTTGGTTTTGGTTCTCTTGTCATGTCATCCAGGTTCCATACATGTATAAGATAATTTATGTGGGGTTTGAACATTAAGTTCGCCTTTTTGGGTTTCATGATCCTTTTACTTATGTCTCTTTATTCTTCTAGAAACAACCAACTAATATGTTGACAAGATTTGGACCCAGGGACATTTCACATAAAGTAAGATCTGAAGATTGAGTTTTGAATTTGTCACATTAAGTGCCTACTAAAAGGGTGCAAATTTGTCACATTAACTTTTAATTTCAATTTTTTTGTAAACATTGTGATTTTTTTAATTGTTTATGACATGGTCCACCCCATTGATCTACTATTTGCTACTTAAATACCAGGCTTGAGAACATAAAAAGATTGAAAAAATTGTGTAAAGAAACAAGCAGGAAACAACAAAAAATGTTTCATCAAATGAGAAGTTATGGAGGTTATGCTAATGAATGCAATGAATAAAAACTGTTGTTTAATGAGATAGTGTATTTGTTGACTTTAGAACTCAAGTATTAAGAATCTTACTTTGTCTCATAATTGCAGTGTTTCTTCATTAGCATGGTTCATGTCTTATCAGGAGACCAGTTTTGTCACCATTGGTCAAAGGCTTCTAGCGAATCCTCTCAGGTAACAGATGGCTTGTTTTTGATGGCTCATGTTAATAACAACTTCGTTGGAAATTCCAAAAAGTGAGATTGTAATGGTGTGGAAATTTTTGCTTCGCATTCAACTAACGGAATGAATTATTCACAATTTACATCTTAGTTAATAAAATTCTAATTGGTTATATGTTTTGAAGTGCGTAATCCTTTCACTTCACTTGCAATGTTGAAGACTTGTATTGTTATTTTTTGACATTCAACTGATCTTCACCAATGTGTAAATGCTTAGTCATTCTATCATTTTCTTCCATCATATGTTTATCATGCAGGGTCCGATTCCATTATGGGCATCCAGATTTATTTGATAGGGTGTTTCACTTAACAAGAGGCGGCATAAGCAAAGCATCTAAAACAATTAACTTGAGTGAGGATGTTTTTGCGGGTAGGAATTAATTATTTTTCAATTTGTTGTTTGAAAACATGTATTTTTTTTTTTTAATGAAGTATAATTTTATTGAGATCTTGGTTCAGTGTCCAATTATAGATAATCTGATAAATCACAGGATTTAATTCTACTTTACGAAGAGGATATGTCACGTATCATGAGTATATGCAAGTTGGCAAAGGTCGCGATGTAGGCCTTAACCAGATCTCAAAGTTTGAAGCCAAAGTGGCAAATGGAAACAGTGAACAAACTCTAAGCCGTGATATATACCGCCTTGGACGTCGGTTTGATTTCTTCCGGATGCTTTCTTGTTACTTCACAACCATTGGGTTTTATTTTAATAGCCTGGTACTCTTTTGAACCCTGGAAATGATTTTGCTTCGTTACTCTATGAATACAAAAATATCTAGTTATATACAAAACAATGACCTGGTTAATCATAATAATTAACTTTTTCAAAAACACAATTGTAAATTGGGAAGACACAAGCACTGCCTTAAATACTGTTTATATCCAGGACTAGAAGAAATTATTAATCAAGTGAAACATGCCAGGAAAAGCACTTGATAGGCAGAAGTAACATCTGCAAACCACGAGAAATTATCCATTGCAATTCTCAAAATGCAAAAAACGCTTTAAGTACATTTAAAAAATGTTCTGTTCAGCTGTGTGCAAAAAATGTGACTTTAGTTTCCAATCAATTACCAAAAACCATGCCAGAAAACCATATCATTTTTACAAAATATCAGGCGTATAAGCTGTTTTATTTAACCCAAAAAAGCAAAGCAAAGAAGTGCAACTCGTTTATCTTTTAAAGATGGTTTTGATGATTTACACCAAGACACTCTCAACTATTGTCGAATATCACTTTATCTCCCTTATCTATGAACTCATATATTTGATTCCCTCATCTATAAAAAGGCTTCACTCTTCATCCATCCACAAGGGGGCATGTGTATGGATTTTTTTTTTCTTTTGTAGTTAAGGAGATCAAAATCTATAGGGTCATAGATAAAGGGGTTAAGTGATACTAGCTAGTTGAGGATGTCTTGGTGTAATTAAAAGAACGAAAATAATTATTTGACTTACCTATGAATGAGGTAGAGACCATGTATATATAATAAATTCATGATACAATTTAGAAAACGATATAAATAAGGAAACAATACTAAATTCAGCGATTGACACAATCACAAATTATATACGTAATACTAAAAATAAAAAGATTCTATGTATTCTAATTTCTATATTCAACACTCCCCTCAAGCTGGTGTGAAGATATTCAACAACCGCAGCTTGTCAATGTATGACTGGAAGAAGCCGAAAAAAACTCAACCGCTAGTTCAAATAAATGCTACCAAACAAATCTGGTAGTCCACTAAATAAAAAAGACCAAAAAAGCGCTTAATACATCAGCACACACCCTAGAAAGGGAAAAAAAGAGAGACTAAACTGCCTTAGAAGAAACTGATAGGAATCAATATTGGGACAGTTTAAAGTGGTCATGCTGGACCGTTGTAGGAATTGACTAGAATCAATGTCGGGAGTCATGCTGGACCGTTGTAGGAACTAATCGGAATCAATATCAGGACAGTTTAAAGGAGTCCTGCTGTACCAATGTAAAGAACTGGATGTTGAACCAGCAAGCATGGCACACACATAACTTATGACGTGGTGCTGAACGATGATGGCAACAAATGACTGCGTGTGCCACTGGGCGGCTTATTGGAAAGTGCGCCAAGGGGGGCGACTTAGGTGGCGCGCCAAGGGGGCGACTTGGGTTATGTGCCAAGGGGGTGACTTGGGTTATACGCCGAATGGGGTGACTTAGATTGTGCGCCAGATGGGGCGGCTTAGGTGGTTCACATGGTATATCACTATGCTTACTATGATATAGGTATAGTACCCTCCCTCAAACTCAAATAGGTTTGAAGATAGAAATCTGTTTAAAATTGAAATAGAGGGAAAGACAAAGTGGAACAAAAACACAAAAAAATGGGTTGCGAGTAAAAAAAGATATGATAGATATTTGGGGTAGGAATAAACTAGTGGATAGAGAAAGAGATCACCACAAAGTGATATTGAAAGAAAATATGACAGTGGAATGGATTGAGGTTTGGCGGGCGGCCAAGGCAAGGCTACCACCCGCCGGCGGGCTCTAATACCAAAAAGAATGGAAAGAATTATTTGACTTGTTCATGAATGAGGCAGAGACCATGTATATATAATAGATTCATGATACAATTTTGGAAACAATATTAAATCAGTGATTGATACAATTATAGATTATATACATAATACTAAAAATAAAAAGATTCTATGTGCTCTAATTTCTATATTCAACATAATTAACCCTTTGATATATTGCTTCAATTGAAATTCTGCTGTTTACATCTGGTTGCCATGTGTTTTGTAACTTTGCAGATATCAGTAATTGGAATTTATGTATTCCTTTACGGGCAGCTATACTTGGTTCTCAGTGGTTTGGAGAGGGCATTCCTTCAGGCTAGAATTCATAACATACAATCATTGGAAACGGCTCTAGCTTCCCAATCATTTATCCAACTGGGACTCTTAACAGGCTTACCAATGGTGATGGAGATTGGACTCGAGAGAGGATTTCTTAATGCCGCCAAAGATTTTGTCCTCATGCAATTGCAGTTAGCTGCTGTTTTCTTCACTTTCTCCCTTGGAACAAAAGCTCACTATTACGGTCGAACAATTCTTCATGGGGGTGCTAAGTACAGACCTACCGGACGCAAAGTTGTTGTGTTTCATGCGAGCTTTACTGAGAATTACAGATTATATTCACGAAGTCACTTTGTGAAAGGATTTGAGCTTCTGCTACTGCTGGTTGTTTATGATCTGTTTAGGCGGTCTTACCAAAACAACATGGCATATGTGTTAGTCACATACGCTATTTGGTTCATGTCACTGACTTGGTTGTTTGCACCATTTTTCTTTAATCCTTCTGGATTCGATTGGGGTAAGATAGTTGATGATTGGAAAGATTGGAACAAGTGGATCAATCAACAAGGCGGGATAGGAATTCAAGAGGATAAGAGTTGGCAGTCTTGGTGGAATGATGAGCAAGCCCATCTTCGTCATTCACGGCTGAGTTCTAGGTTGATTGAAATACTCCTATCACTCCGATTTTTCATTTACCAGTACGGTCTGGTCTATCACCTTGATATATCTGGGAAGAGCAAAAATTTTATAGTTTATGTGCTCTCGTGGGTTGTCATCGTCTTCATTTTCTTGTTAGTCAAGGTAAATTCCCATTCCTTTCTTTTGGGTTTGAAAAAATGTATCCATACAAATCTTACCTGCCTTGGATGTGTCATATTATATGCTATTAGCCACAAAGATATTGCTCAAGTTAAAATTAACATGGATCTTGAAGTAAATTTGGTTAACATTAGAGAAACTCCAATGGTGTGCTGCTATAACTCATCCAAATTCATCTCTAATGATGTGCTATTTTGTATGCCAAATGTCAATTTGGCAAGAGCTCTTCTCTCTCTATATCTGTCATTATGGGATCCACAAATGGCATTTATATTTGACTTTTTGTGGTGTGTGTGTGTGTGTGTGTGTGTGTTGGGTGGGGGGAGGGAGAGAGAAGAAATAACATTTGCACTATTGGAGCAATATTGCTAAATTATGGCATTTTAGCACTGTATCATGTCAAAATTCGGCTGTGACATTGCCATTTTGGCACCAACCATTGGAGAAACTACAGTTCAATCCCATTTTTTTGACAAAAGGATGTGATTAGTCATCATATTAGATTGTGAATCCCAACCTCTGTCCTCCATCTCCATTTTTCCCATCTCCTAATATATGTTAAAACAGTCAAAATGTTTTTAAAAAATCGGGAAAACAATTTGAGACAGTTCCAACAGCATCAATGGTGTTTTTCTGATGTCTAATGTTACTGCCATGTTAGCTGAGTGTGTGATGATTACTTGTAGATACAATACTAATCTCTATGAGGATCTTTAGATGTAGCTTTAAATCTCAACATTGAGAACGATTCTAATTCTATTAAACGTGCTTGTTTATAATTTTATTTACGAATTCATACACTGACAGTATTATTTATATATTGTACTAAGCTATGTGATCTTGACATGCAAGCCAGGCAGTGAATATGGGGAGGCGTCTACTCAGTGCTAATCATCAACTCACATTCAGGTTATTCAAAGCGTTTCTTTTCCTAGGCGTTCTATCTACCATATTCACTCTCTCCCTCGCCTGTAAACTATCTTTGAAGGACTTGATTGTATGTTGTCTTGCATTTTTTCCTACTGGATGGGGTCTTATATTGGTAAGCTCAGTCAATTAATCCCTTCTTTCTTTTTTTCTTTTCTTTTTTAAGGGAAAAAGGAAAAATAAATTTAAAAAAATCCACTTGAATGATATTTTGGTTTTTTTTTTAATAATTTTTTTACAGGCTGCACAAGCTGTCAGACCAAAGATAAAGGACACGGCACTATGGAACTTCACCGAGGTCTTTGCTCAAGCTTATGACTACGGAATGGGGGTTGTACTTTTTGCTCCAATGGCTGCTTTGGCATGGCTTCCAATCATCTCATCTTTCCAGACTCGTTTCCTTTTCAACGAGGCTTTCAGTCGAAGACTGCAGATCCAACTGATTTTAGCAGGAAAAAAGAAGCGTACATAAAATTTTTCCCATTGGTGACATTGTGAATATGATAGTTTTGTATAGTCAAGTCATAATGCTCATTGTGAGATGTACATGTAATGTAGGTGATTCTTATAATTAACAATACGAAAGAGTAACGATATTCACACTTTTCTGAGATGTTAAAAGAAAAATAAATAAATAAAACAAAATAAAAAAAGAGTTTGGGAGGTGTTATAATAGATTGTGAATATCATTGATCATAGGAAATGAGAAGTTTTTAATTAAAGTGAAGTTCTTTAGTTCAATGCAGATGACTTTCTCAAACAAAAACATCTATTCCTTAGTTGTATTATATAAACTAGGGCTTGGCCAGAGCAATGCTCAGTACGCAAAGGGTGTGTTTGTTTTGAAGGATTAGGAGGTGAGATTGGACTATTAGTCTTTCCGGATTAATAATTCATTGTTTGTTTCATTTTTTTGCTCCGTGCTATTAGTCCCACAAATATGGGACTATCCTATCCCATGGGGAGGTAGGATAGAAACTATGGAATTGATATCCCATGAGATTATTTTGTGAAATGTCTATTTTACCCTTCATGCTATTACTTAGCAAACAATTAGAAAATGATAAAATAGTCTTTTGAACATTTATAAATTATTTTTTTAGTGTCGTTAAAAAAATTTAAATACATATTAAATTAAATTATTTTTTTAGTGTTGTTAATTTAAAATTATATATTAAATAAAAAATTTAATTATAAATTATAAATTATAAATTTAATTTAATAATTTTTTTAGTGTTGTTAAAATATTAAATTTACATATTAAATTAAATTATTTTTTTAGTGTTGTTAATTTAAAATTATATATTAAATAAAAAATATAAATTATAAATTAAGTTTATTTAAAAGTAATAAATAATAAATAATAAATTATAGCCTTATAAATTAAATTTTTTTAGTGTTGTTGAAAATTTAATTTATATATTCTAAAAATAATTAAAATATTAAAGCTATGTTTAATATTGCTATTACTTAGTAAATAATTGAAAAGGATAAAATAGTCATTTAAGCATTTATCCTTCTCCATAATATCCCAAACAAACATTGGATAACTAAAAATAATCCAATCTAGACATCTAATCCCATGACTAAACAAACATAGGATACAAATTTAATCCAACCAAATAGTTCTAGGACAATGTATTCCAAGATTAATAGTCCGATGGATTACAATCCCCCCTTATCCAATCCATCCAAACAAACGCACCCAGAGTTTTAAATATATATATATTTATAAATATTAGGGCGAATTACATTAACGGTCTCTATAGTTTGGGGCTTGTGTCACTTTAGACCTTGACTTTTGAATTGTGATACATTTGACCCTGAATTTCGAATTTTATTCAAAATAAGGACAATTGAAAATACTATTATTCAATTTCAAGGGCAAAGTCATCAATTTGATAAAATATAAATTAATTTGATAAAAATAAATGTCAAAAAAATATTTTTGAATTTTCAAAATCATTTCTACTTACCAAAGAAAAAATTATGTAAAAGTGATCAATCTTTTACACATTTATTTATTTATTGATTTTACTAAATTAACTTTTATTATGTGTTTGAATAATGATCTTGTAATGAATGGTTGTTTTTATTTTCATTAAATTAGTTTTTGTTTTCCCTAAAGTCAAATATGGCAATAACTTTGATATCATTATTAAACCAATCTATTAAATCAAAAAAAATCTAACACTAAAAACATTCATATATTAAATATATCGATTACACATTAAAAGCCTCTCAACCACTCATTACATGATCATCACCCAAACACATAATAAAAATTAATTTGGTAAAATAAATAAATAAATAAATAAATGTGTAAAAGATTTATCAATGTTACATAATTTTATCTTCAGTGGGTAGAATTATTTTTTAAAAATTCAAAAATATTTTTTTGATATTTATTTTTGGTCAAATTAGTTATATTTTATCAAATTGACAACTTTGCCCTTGAAATTAAGCAATGGTATCTTCAATTGTTCTTATTTCGAACGAGATTCAAAGTTTAGGATCAAATGTGTCGTAATTAAAAAGTCAGGGACTAAAGTAACACGAGTCCCAAACTATAGGGACTGTTAGTGTAATTCGCCCTATGTATTAATATAAAGCTAAATTAATACAAAGTAAAAAGAATAGAAAATTAGTCATAAAATCATAATATCTTCAAGGAGAACTGAACTACTAAGCTTATGAGAAGGCATGATTATCAAAATTATTTAAACTCCAATAAAAAAAAAAGTGCAGTGAGACTTGATCTTTAACATCATGCTTGGTTAAAAAGAAAAAAGAATTGCCTCATCAAGTCTTTCTTTGATCTTTATAACAAATATTTAATTCAAAACATCTCCAACAGACTCAATATTCTTATATCTGACTCAAAATAGTGTCATTTAATATATATATATATACCAATTGGCCTTTTATATCCTCAAATCACTCAACAAATGAAGATGGGTAGTAAGGCTCCTAAAAAAAACTCTTTTATCTTTCCAAATATCATCAAGTGGAAGGATAATTTAATTTTGAAAAATAATAAATATATTTATATATAATAAAAAGGAGAATAGACAGGAGCTCAGGCCATAAATCTAATTTTTAAACTTATTTGGTAATAGGTCTAAGCACTAACTTGATAGGTTAAAAATTTTGGGACAGATAGATTAAAATAATTTAGACAAATATGTTAATAATCTAGTTAAAAATAAAGTGCACAAGTTGAATTATGTTGAAAATTTATAAAATTTTAAACCGCCAAACCGATTCGCATCCATCCGCCAAACCGCCAATCCGCTCAATCCACATCCGCCGGATTGGCGGACGGATGGCGGATTGGAGGTTTCGTGGCCGCAACCGACCCGCGCCCACCCCTACTTGGGACACTTACTTTAAAATAATTTGAACAGATAGATTAAAAATATTGGAACATAATTTGAAAATAAAATAATTTGGACAGATAGGTATATGCAAGGCACTTGCTTGGGATATTTAAAATAATTTGAACAGATACATTATAATATTGGGACATAATTTGAATAGATAGGTTCAAATAATTTGGACATATAGATATATATGAAGTAAATTAGCTATCTGTTCAAATCATTTATGGTGTTAAAACTTCAATAAGTCATAAGTTTGGGCTTGATAGTCCGTTTTGGACGATTTTTTTTTAGTCCATTTATTTTTTCAAGATCTATCCATACAAAATTGGCAAAAGCGGTTTCGGACACTTCAAAAATGTTGTTTCGTTGTTTTGATTAACTAAAAAATCAATCTATTATTTTTTTTTATATTTAATATTGATCTTGTTTGAAAGATCTAAAAAAAAGACAAATCTATAAATATCAATTTTGTTAAAAATAAATTTGTAAAACTCAAATGATGAGATTTAAAAAAAAAAAAAATAGCACAAAATGCATTTTAGACTTATAAACCAAGGTTGTACTTATAACCAATAAAAGATCAAAAGGTGACCTCTGTCCCAAAACACTCTATAGGTTGGATTTTTCACTAAATTTTCCTAGAAAATATTGTTTGAGAATCTATTTATAAAAAAGATAAATTATGCTCACCTCCTAGAAAATATTGTTTGAGAATCTATTTATAAAAAAGATAAATTATGCTCACCTCTATTGAAATTTAAATATACATACCCGTGCTATGCATGGATTGTGTTTACAATTATTTATATATGTGAATTGTGATTTTTAAATGTTTTCTTTTTAAATATTTTAAATGTCTTCTTTTTTTCCTTTTTTATATTATATTAAAATTTAATATTTTGATAATAATCATATGTGTTGGACTTTTCAATGAATTAAATGTATTTTCTTTTTTATTATATTATATTAAATTTTAGTGTTTTGATAATAATCATATGTATTGGACTTTTCAAGAATTTTTTTTTATACTTGTTTTTAATGCATTAAAGTGTTATTATGAGGAATAATAATCATATGTGTTGGGACTTTTCAAGGAATTCATGTGTTGGATTTCAAAGAATTTTTTTTATGCTTGTTCTTAATGCATTAAAGTGTTATTATGAAGGTAAGACTTTAGGGTTTGGAGAAGTTAATAAATGTTAAGTTTTTTTTTTTTTAAATCAAAAAATCAAAAAATTTAGATTGGGAGATTGAAACTCCCACAAGACTTAGGGGTTAAAAACTCCCTTTTACTTAATATATAGTACTAGCATATATATATATATATATATATATATATTAACCCCGCATTTTTAATATAACTACATTATTCTCTCTTTTCGTAAGTTAAAGTGACCAAAACTAATACAGATAGTGGATAGATACTGAATTAAATAAAGATAAATATATGTTTTAATATAAAAGAGATAATAATATTTTTTCATTCATACGACTAATAAATTACTGATAAAAAATGTAACGCCCTGAAATAATTACAATAATCCAACTCCAAACAACAAATACAATGTGAGATAATTGAGATGATAAGTTTTCGTTAATCAGAATTAAAATACAAAAGGTGATAAGAAATGAAAGGTAAACAAATGTTCATATGCCCTAAAAGCTTACATCTTTCCAAGCAAAGCTTGGGTACATCAAAAATGAGTCATAAGCTCAATACAAATAAATCCCTAAGCTTGTACAAAAGATAAATATAAGATAAACAAAACTGAGCCTTCAGCTCCACAATCCTCCCAAGCTAAGTCCTTAGTGGAGGCATATCATCAGCATCTGAAAATGATTTTCCCAAGTAAGGTGAGCCAAAACCCTGTAGAAATAATCTAACACAATGTATGAATTTTTACAAAGATATAAGTATGGCATGCATATCCAATGCTCAAGATAAAATCATTTATAACTCTTTTACAAAATCATACAAGACCAAGCTTTATATCTCAATTCATGAGTCATTCACTATTTTATTCAAATAACCAAACTGAAGATACAACTCAATGGGTCTCTAACCAGTACCACCATTATACAGACACTTCCATTTTCCATTTTACGGATATTTCGTCTGCGGGAATCGACACCCATGTATACGTGCGATTTTTGGGACTTTCACCCTAGACACACAGGCTAACTTAATTCAATGGAGTTCATCCTCTTTCTTCTCCCAAATATGGAATACATCTCCTTTCTTCTCACAAACATCATACATTTACAATGTATCAAAGACATAGTCATATTCAATGACAACGGATAAGAGATTAGTTTTAATTCACCTAATCCTCATGCAATTTCTATAACAATTATAGCTATCCTCCACCGATAGTCCAAAACATATATTTCTAAACAGATATGCAATCTCCATAACAGATAAATTATCAATATTTTCATAGGTGAAAGATAATACACATCTAACTCCACCATTTATATAAACACTCATTTAATTCCACATTCTCAATACCAATTTCATTTATTTATACAAAATAACTATTTAAGACATTTTAAGGCAAAACTCTCACCTCTTCCAAAATGCATCCAAGTATCCAAATCAACAAAGTTATCACAATACAACCTCATACTTATCTCGATAACCATTTTAATACACACATTTGAAAAATTCTTCTTTTGATTTTAAACAAAAATCCTAGGTTTGTTCAAAATCTTTCCAAATTCCAATATTACTTACACATCACCAAATAGCCAAGTTAAAAGCCATAGAAGAGTGTAGAAAATCCCTACCTCGAGTTTAGAAGATCAATGAAACAATGGAGGAGCTTTAAAGACGCCGAAACGAAGCTATATTCGGATCAAAACGTAACCCTTGAAGTGTTTTATCTTTTTAACAAAGGCACAAGGGTAGAGAAACCACCAAATCTAGGTGAAAATGTAAAGAGAGAGGCTCTAGATCTAGGGTTTTGAGATAAAAATATGTGAAAAAGTCATGTAGAAAGGTGTTGTTACGAACTGATATACGTACAGTCCGTTTGAGCACAAGAAGTGATGCTCGAGCACAAAAGGTACACTCCTAGTAGTTTTGCAGACAACAAACCAAAGCTCGAGAGAAAGACCACTCGAGCGTAGAATACACTCTTCTAGTAGTTTTGCAGACCTACAAAAGTATTGAGAGTTCACAAAGCCCGCTCGAGCGCAAGAAGTGCCGCTTGAGCGATGGAGTAAAATTCTAAACAACAAAAGTTTGAAAACCAAGCAACCAACTTGTTCTAAACGCAACTATTACAATCTAATAGCCAAACCCAAGGAAGTATGAAGAAAAAAAGACATAAACAACACTATAAAACCATGAAACCCAAATCTAAGATACAAAAGGGTCGGGTTAAAACCGAAATCACTATAAAAAATAACATATTTGTTACGTGAATTAAAATTTCAAAAGAGACCAGTATAATTATATTAAAAAAATATGAGAATAATTGTAATTTTTATTTTTCCTGAACATGAAGCGAGGTTAGTATAATTTACCCTTATAAAAATAGCTAAAATTCCATCTTGGGTAAATTACAAATACACCACCTGAAGTTTACTTAGCATACGGATTACCTCCTGTAATTTGAAAAATTATAAATATCCTTTTATCAGAATTTTTTATTTAACAGAACTAACTGAAAAAATAAAATTCCTAATTGCTTCCTATACACTAATAAAATTATGGGTAAATTACAAATACACTCCCTGAGATTTGATTAAGGTACAGATTGTCTCCTGCAATTTGGAAAATTACAAATATCCCCTTATTAGAATTTTTTATTTGACAGAATTAACTAAAAAAATGAAATTCATAATTGTTTTCCTATACAATAATAAAATTACCTAAATTATTAATTAAAATATATTTCTAATATCATTAAAAACTGTTAATTGACTTGATGATTTATTAATAAAATGAGCAACTTGTTATAAAATTAAGGGAGTGAAATGTGGTTTCTAGAACCACAGGAGGCAATTCGTATTTTAATTAAATCTCAGGAGATGTATTTGTAATTTATCCTAAAATTATTTGAATTATTAATTGAAACAAATTTATGATATTATTAAAAATTGTTAATTGACTTGATAATTTATTAATAAAATAAGTTATTTATTATGAAATTAAAATTTTCAAAAGGAAAGTAATTTTTAGAACCACATAGAGTCATTAGATTGGGTGTCTTAGGGAGGTGTTTGGAAAGTAGGTTAGAGGCTAAAATAGTCAATAAAAACAAAATAAGCTAAAATATCCCGTAAGATAAAATATCACATCCAAACTATAATCATTTCACTTTTTCTCTCACAACTATTAAATCAACTACAAAAACAAACCAACCAACTTCTCAAACATAATTTTTTTAGCCAGACTACAGTAGCCAAAAAATTAAGCCCTCGTTTGGCATGTGGCTAAAATGAGGTTGGGGGCTAAAATAGCCATAACAAGACAAAATAGACTAAAAAGTCAATAAAATAAAATATTATATCCAAACTATAATCATTTTACTTTTTCTTTTACAAAAGTCATAAAAAAAAAAAACAACCCAAACAAAGTTTTTAGCTCCAAGTTAAAACAGCCAAAAACCAACTCACTTTCCAAACAAAACTTAAAAAACTAATTAAAATAACTAATTTTTCAAACAAAGCCCTAGAATATCTAATAGGACAATCCATTGGATTGCTCGAGCACTTAGATGAGGCTGTACCGTCGAATTGGATTTCTCCTCCCCCTAATCATTTTACTTTTTTTTTTTTACAAAAGTCAAAAAAATAAAAAAAAAAACCAACCCAAACAAAGTTTTTAGTTCCAAGTTAAAATAACCAAAAATCAACTCACTTTCTAAACAAAACCTAAAAAACTAATTAAAATAACTAAGTTTTCAAACAAAGCCCTAGAATAGCTAATAGGACAATCCGTTGGATTGCTCGAGCACTTAGATGAGGCTATACCGTCGGATTGGATTTCTCTATCTCCCCCCCCCCCGGCGCAACTCTTGTTGAGTATCTTTTAAATTCTATGTACTTGAGGTTTTTTCGATAAAAATGAAAATAAAAATAAAAAGCCACGTTCATTCATATTTGTAATTTACTCTTCCACTTAAAAAAAATGAAGAAAATATATCTATACTATTATATATGTGAATACTTATTTTAGTGTCTTGAAACTTTTTTTCTCGTGTCCAATTTTCTATTCACAAAAGACAAAAAAGAAAAAAATAGAGAGAACGTGACTTGAACTTGAGATCACAAATTTAATAAATTAAACTTTTACCATTTGAATTACATATAACATATAATAAATATTTTGTTTATTTATTTATTTATTTACCTTACCCACATTGCAACTAAGAGTACATATATATACCTGACTTCCTTCTAGTTCCAGATCAAATTAGAGAGTACTGTTGGACCCGTAAAGGCTCATCACGACTTTCGTTTCGATAATCCGAACTATTTAATGTGTAAAAATTGTCAAGTACTATATGTCTATAAAAAATCACGTTGATCGGATATCGATAGCTATTGTACGGGGAGCAGATATTCCGGCGTGCCCGTATTCCTTTCTTCCGAGCTCCGTCGATGTCCGATCACCTGCGAGTCAATAAGGATGAGCTACCCGGCGGTGTGTGGCCGGAAAAACCCTCCGACGATCAAGTTAGCACACACCTTAGAGGGAATAGAGAGAAGGGAGAGAGTGTTTGAGTGTAAGGATTTTCTTACAGAGTGTTCGTCCCCCTCGTATGGGGGGCGCAGATAGGCTTATATACCTTCTGTGCCCCATATCCACTCCCTGTCATCTCCTGACACGTGGCTCTGCTATCCCATCTGTCAGCTTAAACCATGCCGTTCATCACCTGCTCTCAACTGCCTGCCAGCATAGCTGGAGCTCGGCAGCCGAGCTGCCCTACCTCGGTCATACCATGCTTCATACCTTAAGCGCCCGACCGGATAACCGAATGAAGGACCGGGCTAGGCGGCATCTCGGCAAAGCTTAGCCCGGGATCCTCCTTTGGTCGGTCTTCTCGCCGGTCAGTCAACTACCTCGGCTGACCGCGCCTTTCCGAGCGCCGGCCTCTCGGTCTGTCTGATCTCGACAATCCTCAGACCGAGCATCCTGGTCTGACCGGTCACTTCCTGGCCGAGCACCTTCTGCACGGTTCGGGGCAGCACATAGTCCAAACTCTGCCCGGCCCAAGTTCTGGTAGCCCATCTCCGGGTGAACAGTCGATCATCTCGGCCCACTGCTCTGCTGGGCCCCCAACCTGTTCGGTTTATACCTCGGCCCAACGCCGGAGTATAAATCACCCTCTCAGCTATTTCATCAATTCAATTTTTTGTCAACCGTTTATTTTTTCAACGTCCATTTGTCTTTATACAAAATTAATTTGATCACGTAATTATCAATATCCGATCAACGTAATTATTTATAAATATATAATACTCGACGATTTTTACATATTAAACGATTCAAATTATCAAAATAAAATCCATAATAAATCCTCACAGACCTAACCGTACCCCCAATCCGATCCGGGGCCGGAGAGAAGCCAGTGCCATATGTTTAAACATTGCTACGAGCTCACTCCACAGTTCACTCACGACAAAGCAAGTCCAATGCTCCGAAGTCACAATCTTAAAATGATTTCACGTTTAATATTTGCTAACAACACTACCCAAATTCACCAATCAACTCTTCAATCTTCATTGCTTTACTCTCTTCCCCAAATTCTCAACCACAAATCGAGTTCCTCAATCCATTCTCACTCCTTTTCTTCATCTGGGTCATCTCCAGATTCCAATAATCCCACCATTCTCAATCACAAAGACTGGTTAAGCCCCAATGAGGTTCTCAAGCTCTTCCAAACTCTCAAAAACCCCAATTCAACACTCTCTCTCTTAACCCAACTCTCAAATCGCATAGACTATCGACCCAATGAAGCTCTCTACACTGTGATCGTCAACAAGCTCGCTCTAGCCAAGAACTTCGATGGGATTGAAGATATCATGGAAAGAATCAAACTTGAAAGAAGAAGTTACAGACTCTCTGAAGATTTTTTCTACAATGTTATCAAGATCTATGGCAATGTGGCGGGTCGTATAAACCGAGCAATAGAGACCCTTTTCGATATGCCCAATTATAATTGTTGGCCAACGGTAAAATCTTTCAATTTCGTGTTGAATTTGCTTGTTTCTTCGAAACAATTTGATGTTGTTCATGAGGTTTATATGGGTGCTTCTAAGTTGGGTATTGAGATTGATGCTTGTTGTTTGAATATCATGATTAAAGGGTTGTGTGGGTGTGGGGATTTGAATGCTGCATTCCAAGTGCTCGATGAATTTCCTAAACAGGGTTGTAAGCCAAATGTTAGAACTTATTCGACTCTAATGCATGGGTTGTGTGATCGTGGTCGGATCGAAGAAGCATTTGGGTTGTTTGAGAGGATGGAGAAGGAGGGTATAGAGCCGGATACGATTACATTTAATATATTGATTTCGGGACTTGGGAAACAAGGGAGAGTTGACGAGGGGATTGAGTTTTTGTATAAGATGAGGCTTAAGGGGTGTGACCCGAATGCTGGAACTTATCAGGAGGTCTTGTATGGTTTGCTCAACACCAAGAAGTTTCTTGAGGCGAAGAATTTTATGGGTCGGATGGTTTTGATTGGGGTGAGTCCGAGTTTTGATTCTTTCAAGTTGACAATACATGGACTTTGTGATCAAAATCTTGTGGAAGACGTGGATTGGGTTTTGAAGCAAATGGTGCAGCATGGTTTTGTACCAAAGATGGGAATGTGGAAGCAGATTCTTCGGTGTACGCTCTCTGGACACACTAGTTGTACTTTTGAAGAAATTCTAAAAAACTAGCCTACTTGGAACATTGAGATCATTAATGGAGTTTTTCATGATGCTAGCCTATTTGAAAAACTGGAATCACTAATGGTGTTACTTATGCAACTACCATATTGCAAAAAGTACTTCTCTTCTATAGAACGGATATGAATGGTTTAATCAACATCTTAGAGGCCCTGCATCACTTCATTCAAACGCTCCTCCGTCATAAAGAATGCGAAAGATTTTATTGATCAATCACTTGAAGCTGCCTTTCTTTCTTTGCTTGCCACAAGGGATGGCTCAACATAGTTAACCATGAGCAAGCCAATGATACATATGCCTATGAGGAACAACTGCAAGTGGAAGCGGATGAATTTTATCTTTCAATGCTACATGGGCAGCAATCTGTACAGTAACCACCAATAATACTTCAACATATTTATCTGTTTATAGGAAGTTTACGTATACATATTAAAAAAATTAAAACAAGGTGGCCCAGATTTTGTTGTCGTTCTGCTTGTGGCTGCAACGTATATGGAAAATCACCAATGTTAGTGCAGTCAGTTACATGAATTCTGTTTTGTCATTTTGCTTGATCAGGGGGCATAATCTTAGTTAAACTACAAGTTAACATGACTGTTTTTACTCTCTCCACTCAAGTTAATTTGGTCTCGTCCCCTGGTATTACCCTCAATGGCGATCGTGTCACTCTTCGACAATTATTGTTGTACAATGTTCAAACCATCTTAATCGCTCTACCATCTCACGAATCGTTCCTAACCCTCCCTCTCCTAACTTGCACAATCACCTCAACATTCATCCAGTTACATTCATTTTGCTAACATACTGTTTCTCCCATTGTATGCCATGAAGCAATGGTTATATATATATATATATATGTATATTTATATATATTGGCCTATGTTGCATTCCATATAAGATGTGAAGAAAAATGAAACCCAAAAATAGCATTGAGGATTTTGCTAATTTGCTATACGTAGTGAATGCCTCATTTTGCTAATTCGATGTGTATCTTTTAATTAAGTTGCTATATACATGCTAAATATAAATGCATTCAGTTCTATAAATTCAATACACATTAGTTACATAAATATTATAGAAATTTCCTAAAATACTCACCTTTCAGCATTTATTTTACCCTCTGGCAGATCTTTTCCCAGTTTAGTTTACATTTATCTCTTCAATAGCATTCGGCACTTCAAACTGAAACACCAGAAATGGTGATACCAGATATTACTGTAAGTTATACAAGTAGTAAGACTCGAGACTAAATGTTCTGATATTTATTGCTATCATTCGCATACAAAATTTACTAACTGTTCCGAGCTTCGTTGGAATTACATATTTGCAAACAATGAATGATACAATACTCACAAATCACCACATAAAAAAGCTATGAGATGTAACAAGATCACCAAGTCTAATAGAATCTACAGACAAGTTGATCAACATGCAACTAGATGGAGCATTCCTGATCTTCACCATAACTTGATTCCGCAAATTCACTATACAACACAATTATCACCAACTAAAATTTAAATTTATACAAGAAATCTATCTTTTATCTACTTCCAAACTTTTCTCAGAAAGGTCGGGGTTTAGTGAAGACTCGATCAATATATCCTCATTTTCTTCAGAGCTGGCCGATGGGTAATCACCTAACTTGTCGTTACCTTCAAGAATTTCCTTATTTACCGGGTCCTCAACATTCATTGTAAGGTGACTTGGAGTTTTCTGATCATTAAGTTCTTCGGATTTAAAAGAATCATTACCACAGCTTGATATGACTTTGGAAACAACTGGAATCCCTTCAGAGGCACAAACCGATGACTGAAGAGATTCTTCATCAGAAGACTCTGACTCCACAGAAACATCTATCTCTGTTGTCACTGATCCTGAATAACCTTGGGATTTTCCTGACCCTTTCGGAGTAAATGCATGTTTGACATTACGAGCAGAATTTCCAGCATGCTTTAAAATGTTCTTTGCCATGCCCTTCATCACATGTCTGTCCGGACTTTCTGTACCTTTCATTTTCTCAACTGTAACAGGAGACGGTGCAGACAGGTTGTCATCCAAAATGAAATTCACGCCAATTGTCTTCGCATTAACTGCCTTAAGGTTAGGTTGCGGAGATGGAACCAGGTCTTCCATCATACACGACATATTCTCCTTTTTGGACTTGGAATTCCTCCGGTGAAATACTGAACCGATCTTATGTATACCCCGCATCATTTTGTTTGGCCGATTTCCCTTACTACATTCCTGGCTTTCATCGGTGCTACTACTTTCATTATTATAGGATCCAGAAGCTGATGATTTGACACTTCCAATACAATCACTACCCTCCCCGTGAATTTGTGAATCGAGGAGTCTATTCCTCCCCTTTCTAGGCTCCCATATTTGTGAAACTTCACTTCCTGGGTGATGCACCCATATCCCAGTCTCGCGTTGTCCTTCAATGTCAATGGGTTCAAAGTTATCTGCCAATTTCGGAGACTTCTCTGACAATCCAGATGAAAAAGAACCTTTATGAACTTTTTCATCCACAATGGGGGTTTTTTCATCATCATAATTTAATGTTTCACTCTCGCTTGGCTGATCTGACACCTGCACATATACGTGTAATGATTAGATCAAAATTCATACTTCGGTTACAGAATCCTTGTAAGCATGTAATTGTGGTTCACACAAAAGTATGATCCAACTTCGTTTCCTGTGACATTTGAAATGAGTCAGATCCTTTTGTGGATATATAGTTTTTTTAATGGATTGTATAAACACGTAGCAATTTCGTCAATCGTCATGTTGGCTCAAACATGAGGAATAGTACTTCAGTGAGAAAAAATAACCTTTTTGTTGCTTTCAAATACAGTTATGGCAAGATGTAATCTGCCCATTTTAATGTTCCGAAGAGGCAACCACATGTCACGTCTCTGGCCACCCCTAAGGTCACTGATGGTTACAGAACAATCCCTGTAAAGGAAGAAGAGATTTAGTACATCAAATAAAAATTTGCAGGACAGAGACCGTGTACAACTGTTCAGAATCTCCAATCCATAATCAATTAACCTCAAAGTTGAAATTATTAAAATAAAAAATAAAAAATTCAAATCCCAAAACTTTGCATAGCACAGAAGGTCATTCAGTGTGCAACAACTAGTTTAAGTTCTGAAATATAATTCAAAACGTTGTCTCATATTCAGTATATGTTCCAAACATGTTTCAAATGGCAATGATGAGCAAAAGTGTTTAGGACATTACAACTTACAAACCAAAAGGCAATAAACTCAAATTCCTTCGACTCTTCAATTTTTTATGTAAAAGGATGCTCAAACATAGAAGTTAAAGTTGAGAAATAACCACTAGTTGATTTAGAACAGTCATTAATCTAAGGAATTCTTAAGGTGTTGAGATACCTCTGCTTAGAGGACTAAGCACGAGTGAAGTTTAGGCTTTACTAGAGCCTCTAAGTTAGGTTAAAATGCCTGGTTGTTGTTGCATGTGAGAGAGAGAGAGAGAGAGGAATAACATTGCAGTGTTACTATGACATTACCCAAGGCAATCATCAACAAAATGGTCTTTGTCACGAACTTCAATAGCTAGCACATTAGGCGACTCCCATGTACAAATGGGGACCTTAAATTCCTCGTGCCATTTTGGAGTCAATGTTTTCCTTTGTGTCTTACTCCTGAATCTGTAATTACCAAGTTGCCCTTTAACATATGGATCGGCCAATCCTGAAATGGAGTTCCAGTTATTATGCATATACATACTTGGAATGTAAGCTATGGTGTGAAAAGGTCAACGATAGTGTAGTATAAACCAACCATTCATATCTGACGGCTTCATGTCAGCTGCTTCAATAACTTCCACCAATGCATAACCAACTGGTTCCTTCTCATCCACAGAGAACCAAGTTTCTGAAATAAGAAATACATATAATTCAAATATTAGAAATCCTTCAATAATCATTAATTGCATTGAATTACCATATGCATCTAACAAAAGAAGCTAAGAATTATAGCTATTTATGCATCACTAATATGATTTGTTAAAAACTTAGCTTATAAAAATAAGTCAACAAAAAAACTAATGCTAAAAAAAACTAGTTTGTTTAGTATATTCTAACTTTTTTGACTTTTCTAATGTCTTTCTGCCGTGACAAATCTAAAATCCAAAAAGTAAAAATTTTGACTCAAAATTGAAATTAAAAAAAAAAATTAAAAGACAAAATAGATTAAAACTAAAAAAATTAACTAATTTTTAGTTTTTGCCAATCTAGCAGCACAAGTTGACAAATACAATCACATTTTAAAGAAAAAAGCTAGGAATCCAGACATACAGACTCAGAATTTGTCCAGAAGAAAATTGTGTGGTTGAGATTTAACTAGTACATTGTGGGTCTATGACTTGAATAAATTTGGATCACAAGTTGATGTTTGCTGATGAAATTCTGGGGAAAATTCTGGGAGTGTAGCATTCCTGGTAGTCATGTATTTCTGTATCCAAATTTATTGCATATGAAAAGTCGGATAACATCATACCATTCTGAAAAAGGTTGAGTCTAAATTTTTTGGCATAATCCACTAGAGTTTCATATATTAATGTTCCTTCCATAATCTTAATTGCATATTGATTGCATTTCTTATCCCAAAACTAGATATTGAAAAAAAATAAAGTCCAATGAAAGGGGAAATAGAAACATAGTTGTTGAGTGATAATTAATAAGATCCTATACTACTCCGAATACTGAAGCAACATAGTCGAGTTATGTTAAGTAATTGAGAAGCAATGAGCCTAATCCTAATTTCTTTCTTCACAAAAATTACCTTGCTGTGGCGAAACGAATTTCTCCATGTCAATGACCAACATATTGGGCTGCAAATATTGTGAAGATTCAGAATTGAAAGTCAATATAACTAAATAATCAACTGCTAATGTCTTTGAGACAATACAAAAAGAGAGCCTAAACTGTCTCAATGGAATAAGGAAAACACTAAAACACTACAGTGGAGTATCGAAGAGAAATTCACCTCAACTAGTGTCTGCTCAAACGCAACTGCTAGAAGCTTATCCTAATCAGCAAGAAAGATTTAATAAAATAAACAATTAGTAAGAGATAATGAGAGAGAGTGACAAAGTAATTGTTGCACATGACACATGCCAATAACTTACCAACCATCCAGCAATCCCTGGAAGTTCTGTAACATCAAGCCCATGAGTGAAAATAGGTTTCACTGTCATCTGAAAATATGGTGGCTCGACAAAGCATACCCTCAAACGGCCAAGGAAAGGCCAGTGACGAAGGAACTTTACACCAATCAAGACCTAGAAGAGACAAAGAAAGACATTTTCTGTCAAATGCAAGAAGAAATTACTAAGCATTAGTCATTTTTTCGCAATCAATGGCACATGACAAATATTCCAATTTTAAAAATCATCACGAAACATTATAGATCGATCCTGTACTCTACAGATTACACATTTCTGATGCGGTGAGAAAACATGAAATTAAGAACAGTATAACAAAGGATAACTCATTATAGATGTGTGATGTGAAAATTTAACAGTAATTTATTACCTTCCCTTCAACATGCATGCCCATCAAATGCAACTTTGCCCGCATTCCAAATCCCAATCTCTTACTTAATTTCACAGCAAGTATTGCACTCATATCATCTGCAGTCCGAAAATTCATTCCCAACTCCAAAACCTGCATTTAATGAATTTCAACTATTATTCTGGCTACGAAACAGATTATGACTAGAAGTAATACACTATTGACATGAATCCACCATGACGAAGACAGTATTACATACCAAGTGGTCGTCATCAGTGGTTTGATGAAGAACCCTCATTTCTGTGAACACAGGAGGTGATCGTCCCATATACAGATGCTGAACCACGGCATCTTTCTGTGTATATACCCAAATAATTTTCAAAACTAATCATCAACACATTAAAAATGATTTAAAAACACAATTTTCATACATAAAACTCATCCAAAATGATGTGGTGTAAGTAATGCCATTTTTCAAATTATAAGTCATAACATTGGGCATTTTAGTTTGAAATTAATATAACCCCCAAAAAGCCGCATTATTTGTATGCGAATTTTGTACAAAATTTCCGTTCGTGTAGAATAGGGAATTCCTCAAAGACAAAGGCATTTTGAACCAGAAAAATGGAACAAGAACAGCAATTAATTGTATTTAGGAGGGCAGACTCGTACCACAGTCCATGGTTTGTACTTCTCCAAGAACCAAGGTATGATAGGGAGGAGAATTTTCTGTGAAACAATGGGCTCCATACTTACCTCGACCTCAAGTAGAGCTTTCAAGTTCTCAACCTGTCAATGAGATCAAAATTCACATTCAAACAACTAAAAAAAAAAAAAAAAAAAAAAAAAAAGAAGTTGAAATTATAAACATTTATACTTATTCATACGGGCAAGAAAGTAAATTCTCAGAAGGAATCTCAATATCTAACTACATACATATATATATACATAGCAACATATATACATAGAGATAATAAAAAAGATGCAAAGAAAAAATGGCCCGAATTGACAAGAAAGCGAATTTATAAGGGAAATAAAGCTCACACTGTAAACTAAAACTTTTCAGAGTTTTGGACCCCATAGAACAAACTTTTTTTTGTACTAGATTGAATACCTTTTTTCGATCACAAAACATGAGAGTCAAATTCAATTTCCTTTGCCGCAATTTTCTCATACGTATTCTTATTAGCCAAACAGGGAACAAAATTCCAAAGCTAATCTAACAACTAACAATTGAATTGTGCCAATCATAATTTTATTTTATTTTTTAAAAAAAGAAAAAAATTCTAAATCAAAGTAGCCCAAATTTACCCGTCTTTGATTAGACCGTTTTGTTTCCTCGTATCGTAGTTTTCTGCGCAATCTCATCTCATACCGTTCATGAACCTTCAAAAACAGAATAAAAATTGTGAAAGTGAAACACTAGTCATCTGAAAAATGAATCCATGAAAATACAATTAGTAATTGAACACACATTAAAATGCTCACCAAATAGAGGTAGATTAGAGAGAAGAAGTAGACGATCGGGTGAGAACAATTGAAGAAAGAAAGTAACCAAAGCAAAAGAAGCACAATGCAGACATGGTGCAAAATCGAAACCTCCAATAAACTACTCATCTCCTTCTCTTCTTCTCTTTCAAACCCAAATCCAATCCAATCCAATCCAATCCAAACCAAATCAGTTTTTACTAGGAAAATCTACTGATCAAATGGTTCATCGAAGTCTGGGAAAGTTATGGATCCAGATTCAGAAGTAAATGAAACGGAATCTGAGAAATGAATAATGGTTTTAGACTTAAAAACAAACAAAACTTCACTGGATTTGCATTTATTGAAGTTGATTCGATATGAGAAAGTAAATATTTGAATCTATATCTGTAGTAGAGAGAAGAGTGAATGGAATGAGAATCAAAATCTGATGAAAAACCCAATTGGATCCGGCTTGGTTACGCGTAGTTCGTGTTCCGAAGAAACACGCAGTCTTATAGACGAAGACACAGAGAGAGAGAGAGAGAGAGAGAGAGAGGAGTTGTTGAATTAAAATGAAAATGAGAGACCGGTTCGTCATTTTTATGTTTGAGGGATACGCTTGACGGCAGTTTTGCGCCACGTTTCATGCCACATCACGGATGTGGCGTTGTGTCTTCTCGTAAACAATTGTAGGATAACTATTCCTTTTGAAAAATATTATTGATTCTAAATTTTTTATTAAATAAATAATTAAATACCTTACATAGATATAATTTATAAAATTGTGACTCTCACTTTCATGTGAAACATTTGATCATTTATTTGATAAATAATTTAATATCCTTAACATTATCTTTAATTTTTAATCTACTTTTTAAAATAGGCCACACATGTTAGTGGTGTGTTTTAATGGCAAAAAAAATATTTTCGTGAAATTTTTTTATTTTAGTAGAAGAAAATTAAATTTATTGTAGACGAATCCACAAAATTAATAACTATTAAGTGCTTTTTGAAATTTTTTTTTTAAAGTTTTTTGATTTGTCTAATCATGGAGAATCTAAAAGTGTAAAATCTAAAAAAAAAAAATTACAAAAAATCATTACCGATAAAAAAGGTCAATCCTAAACACCCATTTTACAAAATATCGAGTAAGGTCTTGTTTAAGAACTTGACATTTAGGTTAAAAATGTCAAAACATTTTTCTTGACAAAAAAAAAAAATTCAAATCAAACACACTAGTTATTCACGATTTTTCATAAAATTGAAAAAAGTCTTTTAAACACATTCAGTTTATAAAAAAAAATTATTAAAAAAATCAAATCTCAAACAACTCCTAACTTATATTGGCAGTTGTACACGCAATGTGTCACATAGTTAGTTTTTAAACTGTGACATTTTAATATATATAAGAAAATACATAATAGTGTTCACCTAGGGAGTATGAATATGGACACACAGAGACATAGTAATTTTCAAAAAATACACAACATGACACATGAAGAAATACACAACTTGACACGTGAGGGACACACACAAAATATATAATTTTATATAATTATTTTATGTCATATATATGAACATGTTGTTCTAAGACAATAAATAAATACAACATAATATTAACTTCTATAATTAGTTTCGTGTGTCTAATCAATGGATACGTGTGTTCTCTAAGTTTTCAAAGAGTGTCCGAAAAATGTCTGGATCCTAAATTTTTTATAAAAAAATTAGGATACGTTTGGATGAGTGTCAGACACATGTCGGGAGAGTGTCTGATTAGTATCAGTGTCTGACACAGACATGACACGGATACGTTACTATTTTAGAAGTGTCCACACTTCAAAAAATCTTTTAGACTTTACAGTTTATACATTAGTATAAATATTATAGATGAGGTGTGCTATTTTAATAACAATAAGATTACAGATATCATTTATCGTCTATTTATAATAAGAGTGGGATCCAATTCATGTGATTGCGTGGGTGATAAAAAAAATGTAATAGTCTTATAGATACTTTGTTTTAAATTTTTTTTTTTTAAAAAAAGAAAATTATCCTGTCTGTCGCACGATAAAGTTGGGCCGAATTCACTAGCTAACTTTCCATTCGTTTTGGTGCACTGATTTTTTTGTCATCGAACCTCTTTGTTGTCATGTCCTAAGGAATTAATTGTTGAATATATTTTGAATTTTGTATAGTTTGATTGAGATTTTAATATGAATTTTTAGGATACCGATGTTTAGGGATAATGGATCTTTTTTGTGTCATATGATAAATTATTCATTAGTTTTCGATGGCCAAAGGCGGAGATCTGACATAAGGGTTTTATATATTTATTTTTAAAAAAAACTTACTTCTGTATATATAATTATCAAAATTAGATATTAAAATTTACTTACATACAAAACAAAATCCAGTTTACGATGAGTAAAAGACACCAAACTAATCTAAAATTATAATATTAACTAAATATTGAACAAATTATAACAAATTGTTACTTAAATGTTACTCTCTTGCTTTTTAAATTATAAAATTACTAATTAAACTTACATAATTCAATTTATTTATAAAATATTTTTTCAATGAATAACATTATTAATTATTCAATCTTTCTTGTCATATGTTGACTAAAAATAAAATTTAACAACTTTTATCTCCAAAAGCAATTGTAACTTGTGTAATCAGTAATATTTATGAACCATTTAGTTTTAGATTAGGCTTTTTTTAATTGGGAAACTGGAAACAATCTTAATGTTGTGTTTGGTTGGGGGATTTAGAGAGGAATTTAGAAAGGGAAAGGAAAAGGAAAATGTGTGTGAAACTATGTGAAATGTAGGTATATTTTATTCACATTTCACTTAACTTTTTTCTTTCCCTTTCTCTTTCCAAATCCCTCCTCAAATCCTCCAACCAAACACAGTGAGGGGATATTGTTAATGTTAGAAAAATATGTAATAAAATGTGTGAAAAATGTATTAAAATTATAAAAAAAAAATTTGCATTTTATTATTATTATTATTTTTTTTTTTGACAACTTTCAAAACAGCCACAACACAACCCTCTTTTCTATTTTCTCATTCAAATACATGATATTAGAGACTTAAAGTATTAATTTCAAATTTGTAAATAAGGTGTTCATGTGTTTAAATAAGAAGAGTTGAGCCGTAATTGTCACCTTGCATGAGTTCTTCCTTAAAATAACATAAGGTTATATTTTTTTAACCCCAGGTGGTGTTTGGAATGATGATTATTGGCTAAAATAGTTAATAAGATAAGAAAGACTAAAATAATTAATAAAATAAAATGTTAAATATTACAAATTAATTAATTATTTTTTTCTCACAATTATTTATTCAACTATATAAAAATTTAAAATCACTTTAAAAATAATTTATTTTTATTAATTAAAATAATTCAAAATTCAAAAAACTAACTAAAATATTAATTGTAAACATGCCAAAAGAGGGCATCTGGAGAGAAGTTTCATACTCAAGAAGGGACAGCTGAGAACCGTTTGATCAAAACAGACTCGTGATCTGTGGTTGTCAAGTTTGACTAGGCGTATTTTGAATGGTAGGTCGCTCATTTGGGTATAAGTCCATCGTTTTATCGTGCACCGGTTACACAATATCATATCCTTATTTTAATTTTAATTTTTTTTAAAGATTGATATCCTTATTTCAGAACTCTCGCATGTTGTCAACTTGCAACATGTCGGCAAATAACGTGTGCGATTGGAAGTTTCTTTCTGTCGCAATCAGCATACGTTGTTCATAAATAGGCAAATAATGTTGATGTTTAGCCACCTCAGTAAAATTCAGTTTTATACTTTGTTGTAGTGATGTGGCGTGACTCGATTGGGTCTTTATTGTAGTTATTTTGTATGGTTCTGTAGCAGAAGCTTCCTGCATATTTAACCGGTTTTAACTGCCCGCAGTGATCGAGATTGCATTCCCACTTAAGGCCTACTAATTTTATTACACGTGTACCCTTTTGTGAAATCTAAACAACTAATTTATTTTACGACAATGCTATGTAACTCAAATTTTGTGACTCAAAAGTGGCTCAAATGCCCAAAACGACGTCGTTTTGAGTACAGAACAACATAAAAATGGCCAAAACGACGTCGTTTTGGCCATTTGAGCCACTTTTGAGCTACAAAATTTGAACTACGAGACATTTTCCTTTATTTTATAAACCAACAATGCTAGAGGGCCACAATTTTTGTTGCAACAATCGCTCAAAACTGTCAAAACGACGTCATTTTGACAGTTTTGAGTCATTGTGACCACAACAATTGTGCCCCTCAAACATTTTTCTTTATAAACAAGGAACATAAATACTTTTCAAATCAAATAATTAGAAACCTAGGGGATGCGGGATGAGGGGTCACTGCGATGGTGCCCCTGCTGTGCCTGCTGTGCTGTTCAAAACGGCACCGTTTTTTTTTTTTTTTTTTTTTTGGGATTAAATATAATTTTTTTTTATTTACCCAAAAAAAAAAAAAAAAAAAAAAAAAAAAAAAAAAAGGAAGAAGAAGAAGAAAGGAAAAGGAAAGAAAAAAAGAAGAAGAAAGAAGGGACAACAGTTTCACCTTTTTTTTTTTTTTTTTTCCCATATTCTCACTATGTTTTCAGCATGATAAATTACACTTTATCCCTATATTTGGTCACTTTTTTACTTTAATTCTTAAATAATATATATTATATATATATATATATATATATATATATATATATATATTATTTTTAGGGTTTAGTGTTTAATTTTTAATTTTTTATTTTATTTTAGGGTTTAGGGATAATTTTTTATTTTTATATTTTAGAGTTTAGCATTTAGGGTTTAGGTTTAATTCTTAAAATTTATTTATTTTTATTTTAGGGTTTAGGGTTTAGGGATAAATTTTTCTTTATTTTTTT